CCGTCTGGAAATGTAGGAACCACACAAGTGCTGCCTGGCCCACTCCTCGCCCTGGCTCTGCAAATGCAGTCTGGCCCTGAGGTCTGCACACACACAAGCAAACTCAGAGCCTGGCAGTTCATTCATCATAGTACTAATTAGCACCAGTTTGCATCAGGTCACGTTCCAATCCTTGGCCAGCACTGTTTACATGCCGTGCCCTGAGTACTGCTGCACTGAGCCTGGCTGTAACAGACAGAATGGCCCCAAAACAGGTGGCTGTGAACAGTGCTTGTCCTATCAACAGAGTTGCCTTCAGGGATTAAAACTGCATCGTCCTGGGGTTACTTGCTTTTAACAAGCAACAATCTCTCATCTTTCCATATATTCTCAGAGAGTGGACAGGCACTGGAACAGACTGCCCAGGGAGGTTGTGGAGTCCCCAGTCGTGGAGGTGTTTAAGGAAAAGATATATGTAGTACTGAAGAACGTGATTTAATGGGCAATACTGGTGGTAAACAGAACGTTGAACTAGATGATCCTAGTGATCTTTTCCAACCTTAATGATTCTATTCAATGATTGCAACTCATTTGGTGTCAGGTCCTTACAACACACCAAAACAGACTGCTGCTGGAATAGATTCATCTCTAGGTCCAGCATTATCTTTTCCATCCCACTAAATTGAACAAAATCCCAGCTTTAATGGCATCTGGGCAGACCAAGCTCTTTGAAGTCACTCCCCTCTCTGAGGAGAAAGAAGTACTAAATTGTTCTCAATTGTTTCAGAGGTAAGGAAAATGAGAGAAAGAAAGAGAGAGAGAGAGACAAAGAGAGAAAAAGAAAAACTGACACAGGACTTAGGATGACACAAATTATATTTCTCAACATTGCCAAGAAACAAAATGGGACAAATCCATCTAGTACTTGTCACTGAAACTGGGCGTCACAGCTCTGAATACAATGGGAATTGTTCAGCTTTGTTTAAACAAAACAAGAATTAAAATAATTAATTTTTTAAAAAAAAAAAACAACACCCAAAAACCAAACATTTCTCAGGTCGTCATGGTTAAATTCAGAGGATGAATTAACAGAAGGAAAAGAGATTGCCAGTACATTGCCAAAGTCATTGCAATTTAATTCAGTTAAAGAGAAGCAATAAGCCCAGAAGTGCATCTGGCAAGATTCATGTAAGGACCATCTACATGAAATGCAGACTAGGGACAGGAATAGTAGAATACACTGTAAAACACATGAAGGAATTATAGCTCTGAGACACATCGAAATACAAGCTCATACAGATCAGTCTTAACAGCTGTAGTTTCTCCACTTATTTCCATAAATATAATTTCTGAAATGACCTTCTAATTCTCAGCTTCCATGTGCTAGCACCTGTGCCAGCTGTGGCAAGAAATAGTTTCCTTTGGCAGCCCAGAGAAGAAAAGCTTTTGCTAGTTTTCCTGCTATCAGCATTATCAAGCTGCACTGCACAGGATTTGCTGACAGACACGAGTTTGTGCATCTTCTAATTCTGTGCTTCAGGCTGGTGGGAAATGCCCTACACTAACATCATCCTCATAGAGAGAAGGAAGAGGTCGGGAAGCATTCTAACTGAAGTCAAGAGGACCACGGCACCCCAATATTTGTGGTAATTTTGCTCTCATCTATTTTGTAGTGTTTCTGCCAACTGCACCTCAAGGTCAGACTATGAGTAGGGTCAACAGTAAGGGAGCAGAAGGTGCCTTGGGCCTTTTCCCTTCAAAACACCATTGCAAAACTAAACTGAGTTAACACCTGATTCCAGGCAGAAAAATGGAGCCCTTCCAATGCTCCAGGCTATAAAAGAAAGACCCCTTTGACCTGGGGCTGTTTACCTTGGCTGCAGTCTTTGGACATTTCAATAGGAAAGTGTACTGCACCTGTGAACAGGAAAAACAGAGCCAGTGACTGGCAAACAGATCACTCTGGGCACCTGGAATGAAGCCTGTACAATCCTGTTTAATGCATGACCTCCACAGTCAAGAAATGCAAAGGTGGTAAAAGCAGGCAGCTGAGGAATGCCCACAGAAAGTAACACAGAGCACGTAGGAGTCCCATGTGGAACAATACATTCATTGTTACCCTGGGACCTCCTTCCCTAACTCTATCTAGTAAATGTCTATTACTGTTGTTGCTGAAAGAGAGAAAAAAGGAGAAAGAATAATGCCTTATTTCTCGTATCGCTTGGGCAAGTGAGAATTCCTGCTGCACAATCAGGTTAGGCTCAAATTGGAGAAATGTTATAAATCTAAAGTCAGAAGTCTATGTCCAAACTGAGACTGACAGAGCAAGAATGTCTAAATCAAGTTACAATACCAGTCAATGGCAAGGGCTGAAAGATGCTTTTATTGTTCACACAGTAAAACAATCCAGTGGAAGATTATTAGATGGGGAAACAGCAGCTTTGTTGGGATGAATACCAGGTAATCCTTGAAATGTGTCCAGTGTACCTGTCATTGGAGCAGTACTGGGCAATAGGCTTCTTTGGGATCTCTTCAGTGGACAATGCATTCACCAAAAACAGAAATAAGGGTTAACTGAAACTATTTGTCAGACTAAGAAAAAAGGCAAAGGCAAAAAGGCTATTAACAATAAAACATTTTTCTTTCAGCATTTTCAGAACAAGTTTCACATTTGTGCCTCAAATCAACTTTTTATAGCCCAAGTCATAACGTTTTTAAAAAAAGTGAAAAAGCAACCCTAAAAATGAAATGCTTCATTTTGGTTTGAAAGGATTTTTTTTTTTCTTAATGTTTTGATTTTTCTCTTTTTCATTTCAATGAGAAAATGAAAACAAAATAAACTTGTCTCAGGTCACCCTTGCAGCTTCAGGCCACCCTTACAATGTTTTTCCCCAGATTTTTCAGTTCAGCCTGCAAACTGAAAAACCGTTTGTGGGCACAGCCTACTTTGGGAGTTTACTGTCCTTCTTGCTATTTAAATCAGTCCTAAGACAAAGGAAAATGGGAATCTTATTTCACCAGGTAATGCTAACCAAAAATCAAAGTATTTAGCAGATTAAAAAAAAAAAACAATCCTGAAAATCAGAGGAGATGTGCCTGTTTATGGGCTGAACGTAACCCAGGAGACAAAGAGATGATTCCAAAGAATACTGCCATCTACAAGCTTCTTGCTATGCCACCCTACTCTCATATAAGGCAATTTACAACCTGTGGGCCCAATCCTGCATTTTTAGAATCTGTGATGGGATACTGCAAGCACAGCAAAATCTAGGTAGCTCACACTATGTGCTCTGAGCAAGGGGAGGGGGGGGGGGGGGAGGCATGAGGGTTGTGGGTGCAAGGAAGCAAATGGAGAAAGATGCACCGTCCTCTCCACTAGCAATACTTGAGCATCAATCACGTGACCTGAAAACAACATCCCTTCTTTGCAGAGTGTTACCACTTCTGCAGGGATAATACAGTACTGGATAGTTGCTTTGCAAGCTCAATTAAAAGAAAAGGCCTTACAAGGATTTCTGTTGGGACAGTCATCTGGTTCAAACACAGCAGAAGACAACATCAACAACAGCAAAAAACCCACAATAAATTAGATATCAGCACAGCTTTCTAAGTGTTCTAGAACAATTACTTGCAAGACAAAAAAAAAAATCACAGCTCTGGTACTTAGAATCTTGTCTTTTTTTAAAAAACAATAATCCACAGGTTTTGCATAAAAATAAACATTTTAAGCTGACGTCGTTATGTTAATTGGATCAACCCGCTTTTTATATATATATATATTTCTATGTATATTTAAATGTATATCTTTCTTCTATGAATATTCTTTAAAGGAGTAATGAGAGTCACAAATGCATAAAAATAGATACTTTGGAAAGAAAAAGTAATAATAGTAACGACAACCCTGGTGAAAAAAAAACCAATAATCCAAATAGCGCAGTATTCTAAAGCAATGGCTCACCATACTGCCACTTGTGGAGTCCAGTCCTTCTGTATTGCGTGCAATTACTCTTAAGTACTACTGGGGATTTAACAGCGGTGAGAAACAAAAATTCCTCAAGTTTATTTAAAAAAAAAAAAAAAAAGTAGTTGAGATGGAGTTGGATATACAGGGAGATTTTGATGCTTGTTATATTGCTGTAAAAGAACTAACACAAATTATCTTCAGAGGTGAAAGCAGAAAGAACTCTGGCAATTTTTGCATTTACAGCAATATAGTTTTGATCAAAATCTGACCCTTTGCTCTGAATTAAAGCTTAAAAAATAAACAAAAACAAAACAAAAGCATTTTTGCTCTACAATGTATTTTTGCTTTTTTTTCTGTTGTCCTACAAGTAATTAACGCAGATGAGAAAAGGTGGGATTTTCAGTAGTGTGTGTCAGCACCCTGCACATCTCTGACAAAAGCCAGCTCCTAATAAGATTATTTCCATGAGTGATCCTGTCCCTTTACAGCAGGAGTTAACCTTACTGTTAAAAATCCCTCCAAGGCAAAAAGATTGTGGAGTAGGAAGGGTGGGAAGCCATTAAAAAAAGAAGAGATAATAGCCTGACCTGCTTGCCAGCTGCATCAGTATTCAAGTAAAGTTTAAAGTACCTTTGTTGGACTTCAGAGTCTCGGAGGGTCAGACCAGCTTACTTTAACAAGTATAATATGCACTTTGAAACAGCTTTGTCATCTGCTTGTTTAAACTAAAAAACAGAACTCAAAAACAAACAGGAGCATAGGAAAGGTCTCAGCATCAGCATTAGACTGCAGAGTGTCCTCTTGACACTTTGATATTCTTGCCTTCCTCTTCTAATGCATTAAAATATCAAGAAGTCATGCAGTCATTTCTAAATGAGTATTTTGAGAGTCCAGTTTTCTTAGAGGTTAACTTCATCACCAGCACAGCACTGGAGAAAGCAGATCTAATAATAGTTCACTGACAGAAATCTTCAAAGGAAAGTAAAAAAAAATATATCATTCCACAGATAACAATGCCAATTAAAAACACAGAAAGCAAATGGTTTTTCCTCAGTGTTTTTTCTCTTAAGACATCCTTTCAGAAGAATATTTTTCTTTAAATTTTCTTTAGAAACACATTTTCCTTTCAGATTTGAGTGCTATCTTCCATCTACACGAATTTAAACTCTTCTGAAAGTGCCTACAGGGCTTGTAGGGGCAGGGCATCATTCCCATCAGGTAGATGGCATCTGCTCATTTTGTCTTGTTTGTCCTCTTCAATTCCTCCATTCCCTTTAGCTCTCGCAGGCCAATACACTACTGTGAGAATTTAATGCTTGCAGTTGAAAGAACTTTGGACTGAGCACAGCTTGACACATTTCACCTCCATGTCATTACCACGTAGTTTCTCCTTTCTCTACACATATAAAATTAGTTTGCATAACACTGTCTTAAAGGAAGAAAATAAAATACACACACATACATTGTATTGGTGAACACTATACACTAAATATTTTTTTCAACAGCATCACAGGAAGTTTGGCCTACTGTAGGTTGATCTTGTGGGGAAGGCTGAATTTTTCTAGTTGCCATGCAAGCCACCTTCAAGACGAAACAGGTGAACCCACCCAAGAGCAAAAGCTCTCAAGCCAACAGACAAACACTGCCTTTCCAGGGGTCGGACTGACATCACGCCAATTCAGTCAATGCAGCATTTAAAGAACCACACTGAGTTGCTTCTGTGTCAGTCCTCTGAATTCAAACGCTGTTAAACCGAAGGAGGAAGAGCGTAATCGGTCTGCCTTAGTAGTAGTAGTATTTATATATTTTGATAACGCTTTGAATTGCAATTTACTTCTGAAACCTTGCCCTTTGAAAAGCACACACCCTTTAAGTTGACAATTTTTTCAGGCTTCTGTTCCTTTAAAATTCTCTTTGTTTTTACTGCTCTTTTTCAATTATCTACCAGAAAACTTGCTTTCTTCCAGCAGAAACGTGGCTGGCAGGCTCATGCTTTCACTGCACCCGCTCTGTGAAATTCTCTGGGAAAACCCCTCGGCATTGGTCAAGTTCCTTATGCTGGATCCAGTCAGACTCCTTCACACCCATCAGCCATCCTTCATCCTAGAGGAGAAGACAGAGATAAGACGTTGAGGGTGAGATAAGAGTGAGGATTTTTTTTTAGAGTGCAGGCCAAGGAGATGTCAAGGCACATCGAAGCCATGCTCATGGTTGGCTTGGAGAGATCCAGGTAGAGGATTGAGGAGCGGGAGATAAGTGTTTTTGTTTCCTTTTAAACAGAAAAGGCCACATTCCAAAGTCAGCACTAAAACTTGCCTGACCCAGAGCATTTGGAAGCAATGAAATGTACACAATCCACAAGTGCAACAGAAACATTTCATTATTCACATCCAGTGCAGCAGGAGACATTCTCTGGAGCAATGGGATCCAATCATCTGCCCTACCTTTCAACTACCTAAACACAATGGGTTTGATGTTCTCCATCATCAGGAAAGAAATGGGCACCTCCACAGGGCACAGGTCTTCAGAAAGACCCATTTTCTGGTGCTCTGGAAGTGCTCATCTTCTGCTCCTGTTTGAATAGCATTTGACGCAGCTTACACAACAAAATGAGTCTTGCTATAACACAAACAGGGTCTAAGAAAACTGAGAGCTGAGGAGCTCAACATCTAATCCCAAAACCCAGCAAGCTGTTGGGCTTGATGCAAAACGTGGTTGGAAGAACTCCCCATACACAAGCATCCTCCTAGCCATTAAACCCACAGACATTAAACCCAATCCTCTATAAACAGGGATGACTTTTCACTGAAGCAAAATGAGTCCTGCCTGGTAGAACCTGCTCAGGAGGAGAACCAGTCTTCCTTCCATCTCCGTGCTCTCTGCAAAGCATCCAACATTGAGATTTCTACTCAATTTGAAGAACATGAGGGAAGTGAGATATTCCAAGTGAGATGGTTGCACTGTTTGTGGCTCAGGTGTGCAGCTACCCAGTTGAACGCATGCCTTGAACTACTCCCACCTCTGCATGCCACCCACCCCTGCAACCTGCAAGTGCTCATGCATGCCATTTGCAGTGGGGCAGCCTATGCATCAAGACCACAGCATGAGGCAATGGAGCTGTATGAAGGACCACTGCCTTCAAACTTAACAGCTTGCTCTGCATCTGCTGCTCTAGGCAAAGCATACACCAGGTTCATTTAGAGCTATGTCAACACATTCAGCTTCATAACTTGCCAGAGCAGAAATACTCGGGCAACCAGATGCTCTAAGCTGTGGAAAAATGGGGCATGCTTGTATGCAGTTCACACAGTTGTTCTGACTCGCTCCTGGAACCAGCAGGAGTTACCTGTGAATTTTAGCAATGACACACACTGCCTCCCTTCAAACATATTCTTTAAAAACATACCTGCACAGTGCAGGAACAATGCAGCCCACATCAGGGGTGATCCATGGGGCATGTATTGCTTTCTACTGCCATGTTATTGCTTCTGCTCTCATGCTTGTGTGTTTCCAAGTGGCAGTAGCTCAGATCAGCCGCTGTACCTGAGTTCCCTGCTCCATGCAGGCTGCATTGGGTGCCTGCAGGCTCAGACAGCCCTTGCTGCTGCCTTAGAGTTGAGCATTCAGGGGATGTCAGGGGAATGACGTGAGTCAGGAGCCCATCTGCAGAAGCCAGCTGCAGGGGCTGCAGACAGACTGACATGCCATAAATCAGGAAGACAAACTACTAGGCAGAAGGCGCTGGGCGCAAGTGCCTGGAAGGCAGCTTCCAAGCTCACAGCACAGCAAGCACAAAAGCTCATCCATTTGCATCTAGTGTATGTGCCATACAGCATGCATCACTCCCACAGCATCAGGCTTCAAAAGGATCTCCTCAGCTACAGGGATCAGACACTGGGACCTAGATTGACTCCTGACTACTCTTAACATCATATGAAGTGCCAGATTAGAAGCACTGCTGCCCTCAATGCCTTCTGTCAAGGGAGATGACTCCAGGCCTGCTCAATGAACACAGACACCTAAGCTGCAAGATGGGGACATGGCTCACAGTCTATTATCCTAGGCTTTCTCCACCCACGTGCACAATTCATGCACATGTTAACAGCCAAGATTTTCTGGCTGGGTATGGTAAGGGTTAGGGAAATGAGCTGTAGCACGCTATACACTGTAGAGAGTTAGAGGGCTTCAGTGCAGCTACAGCATTTGTTAGCAACACTCAGAGCTCACCCTCTGCAGCCTGGAGAGTCTCGAGTTCATGGCTGTTGCACCCACATCCAGCTAGAGTGCAAACATAGGGCATTGAAAAACTCTGTTCCATAAATGCCATCTCCTACCATTGAAACCAGAGGAGCTGCCCTTCATTTCCCATCCAAAAAGTCTTATGAGATGGAAATGCTCATAAATGCTTGTGCAGGGCAGTCCCACCCACTGAAGAGTCTTGTCTGTGGAAGGAATCACTGCTTCTTCCCATACAACCCTTCCTCACAGAGCATTCTGCGCTGTGGGAAATACCAATGTATTACAGATCCCGTTTTGCAAGCAGCAGCAAGATCTCCCTCTGTAACTCACAAAGTCAACAGCTGAGCCACATGAATCACATCATCTTTGAACTACACTGTTCCTTTACCCCTTATGAAATCCTAATCTTGTCAAAACCGAAGAGGCAGTGACTTCTGAATCAACTGGAAGAATTCCCTTCCTTTTCCAAATGAAGATCTGAGATCTGAGCTTGATTTTTACAAAATCACCACTTCTCTCAGCCAAGATAGTAAAACTGCTGCAGTCTCTATCAGCTGGAAGCCCTCAAACATAGCAAGTGAGGAGGATTTACTCGAGACTTTTAGAAATAGCTGAGATTAAAGAAAAAAAAAACTGCCAATTAAATCCAGGCCAGAGAAAGACAGGAAGCATGCTCTCTGGAGTTGGGCATCCTGCTCCAGCCTGTGGTTCTGCTGCCATCTCCTGGCCACACACTATCTTTTGGAAAACTTTGGGTGGTTCCTGCCAGCTCCACGGTCTGCACTGCAGTGTTCACAGATACTGTGCACGAAGATCAGGAGCTAAATTTGGGCTCTGTTTGGCTCCCTGTGAAGAAAGCCATTGCCTTAGCTCAGATGCCCCGATAAGGGCAGGACACCATGGCTGCTTCGCATGCTTTATGCAGGATAATGTCTCCACTTTCCAGTCACAAGCCATCTTCCTCTGTTGCAGGAAGACAAGGACAGGAACAACTGGCTTTGCAGCCAGCTTCCAGCCACAAACTGATGACTCTGCATACAGCCAGACTGTTAGTGGAAGAAGAAGCAGCTCCAGAAATCCCTTTGGCTCATCCCAGCCCAGGCACAAACCCAGTCTTCCCTGCTCACCTGCTCCTCAGGGTTCTCAAATGGAATCACAAGCACCACATCCCCGGCCTTCAGCTGCAACTCATCACTGTCGGTAGCTGTGTAATCATGCATAGCCTGGACCTATAGCCAAAAAAAGAGGAGAGCCACACGCGTGTTAATACCGACCAGCACAGTCACAGGAGCATCCCGGTGACTCATTCAATTAGTTATGCAACAGCACCTGCACATCCTTCCTTTAGATGGCTGTGTTTCCAGGTGTTCCCATGGTGCAGACCTAAGATTTGCATTCACTCAAGTGGTGCCCTGTGTTCTTTCAGCATCTGGATTTCAAGAGTATTAGAGGTCATAGCCTCCCCACTCTGTCACCTATGCTTACTCTCCCTGTTTGATACAAGAGCATCAGTTTGGAACTTCAGGTGATTTTCTCCTGTTGTATTTCTCTTTCTTCCATCCCGTCTACTATCAAGATCTGTGTTATAGTCTTTCTGTTTCAAGCCAAAGCCCTTCACTTCAACTACTACAATAATATGCAACTGCTATAACAAACTATAATTCCGCCCATAATCAGTCAGAATGCAATGACCCTCCTATTGTTCTCCCAAGTTTAGCCATCCTTTTGCTTTTGGTGGATTTCCCAGAAAAAGCCATATGAGAACATAACTGAAATAGAAAAAAAAAAAAAGAATTCCTACACCAGATCAGACAAACAAAAAAGGAGGCTGTCACTTCATGGGGCATGATGCATTTGTGATGCCTTGCTACCAAGACCCTTCAATGTGACATATCCCATGGTCACACTTAGTGAATGTAGTTAAACTGTTACTGGAACTAAATCACCATGTTGTCCCACCAGCATGCACTCACCTTGAACAGAAATCCTGGTGGCATGTCAGCTCTTTCAGAGGAGGCGCCTCCTTCCACAGTGCCATTGACAGTAGCAGGGAAAGTCTCCACAACGACAGCGGGCAGAGAGCTCTGGTAGGTAGCAGCCAGGGAAAGAAAAGGACCATTGAGAAAGGAGAATCCAAGATGGGCAGCTCACTGATCCATATTGAAGGATTCACATCAAAACTATCCATAACCCAGTTGGGAATACCAACTCCATCCAAGTTTCAGTGGGTTTTCTCAACAGTGACAAGAACACTTCAAATGGCAGTAAAGACTGCTGCCCTTCTTTGCTTATGGCTGCAAAGTTCATGGAGGATTTAGAGCATTTTTCTGGGACCACACTTGCAGTATTTTCCATTTAATGCAGTCACAAAGCAGTCCTTGTAAAGTCCATGAAGAACAAGTCACAAGTGACAATCTATAAGAACCAAGCAGCCATAAAATGGACCTACTCCAGCCCCTAAAAACATGATAGTGTCAAAAGAGAGGAGATCTGGTTATTCAGGAGGTATAGGCAGAGCTCAGGGAGGTAAAGTAAATGGTGGGAAAAGAGGAGCCCATCAGACAATGCAAGCTTAATATAGAAGGGGCTGTAGGCTGGCTTCATGACATGAACAAATAGAAGGCTCTTTTTAAAGATCTTCCAGCTGAGCTTATCTCTAAGCATCACACAGGGAAAATACAACAGCTAACTCTGGCCTTTGAGCAAGACCATTGCAACTGCTGAAGCGGCAAGGGTACATTTTTCCAAGCCATTGCAAAACTCTTTTCTCAGCCTAGTTACCCATATGTCGGCTGTATGACAAAGAGAAGTGGTGGAGAAGCAACTACTTTCTCTTGAGGTACTTACCGATCCTGAATCACCTTCAGTTTTAGATGCTTCAGCTCCAGCTGCTGCTTCAGATCCAGCTGCTTCAGCTCCTGCATGGGCTGCTTCTGTAGGCTGCAACACAGAATCCATTCAAGTGGAGTTACTCTCATTACCGTCATATCTGTGTGCAGAAAGTACAGCTCAGTCTGTCCAAGTGCTCCCTACACGGTTGATTGCTGCCATCTGCTGACAAACAGGTGAAGAACTTCAGTTCTCACTACATCTGCCTCCCAATTGTCTGCAGCCTAGAGAAACCACAGTAAAGCCTGAATCCCCTCTCAGCCACACAAGAGACAATACTGCAGAAGAAACAATGCAATCCCCAGAACCTGCATGCCTTTTCTTTTCAGGATTTAACATACTGACTTACATACACAGTATCTGTTACTACATCTAGATTTCCACTTGCATGTGAATACGCAGTGTGAATGCTCACATGCCAACAGGGATCAACCCATAGGCTATTTCCAAGCATCAATAATCAGGGAACGTTTGAGCCTTCATATACTCCCAGAAAAAGAAGAGCATGGTAATAACATGTCCAGATGTGGAACTTTGTGTGGACCTAGCATCTTTATAATGTTAGCTTTGAATGAAACTCAACTGAAAACTATGCTAATTTTAATCCAGTTTGATTCTGGACAGGCCCAAAGAGTCATGAATTTGGATTGTTTGTAAGAATTTGCTATGACTATTCTGCATGGTGTCTGCGTGGTTGGTAGGGAAGAATCTAATGCACAAAAGCTACCTCCACCAGGAGCTATTCAGCATCACTTACAAACCACTGCCCAGCAGAGATTGCTCCTGGAAGTAGGAGCACAGCAAAGAATGAGCTCTAGTACTCATCCAGAGCTTCAAGCTTCTGGTCTCTCACACCTGATACCAAGCTAGCTTTGTTTTAATGCAAAAATAAAGACATTCATTTGCCCCTCCCAGAAACTGCAGCAGCATAGGAATTAAGTTGGATCTGGAAGCATTAATACTTCCAGCCAGACAGCATTAGAAAGACTCCTGACAAGAATCTCACGGGCCTAGTAAGGTCTGTTTTCTAATTTAATGCCTGGAAGCATTCACTGCCCATCTATATTTATTCAATCATAGCACAGACAACTCTTTGTATAATCTAACTAGATTCCTGCTTCAAACTTGCACAATAGAAACCACTAATACAGACACTTCCATTTTTAATACGTGAATAAACAAGTTTTTACATGCCTGCATGATTCATACATTTGGTAAGCACACGTACCTCCAAATACAACCATTTTCAAAGCAAAGCACTGCCCAAATATCCCACTATTGCAATTCTCCTAGTCCCAGCTCTATAGAAGCACTCTGGCCAGGTTCAACTGATCAGTGAACCCCCCAGCTTTCAGCAGTTTCCCTGGGAACCCAGATAACTTTGTTGAATCTGGGCTCTGCAGACATTCCAAGCAAATCAATGGTGACTGAAGCTCAGAAACAGTCTGTGGACTGATCCCAAACTCATCCTTCAGACAGGGAGGTCTCCTCATCCTCATAAGAACAACAAGAAAATGCACAGATCCACCAGGTTTTAAGCCACACTCTGAACATCCTTCCTTCACCATACCTTTCTTCCATCTTCCTTCATCAGACCTGGGCTGACACCAAGCCAAGCTCTGTGCCTTCATTGCAGCAGGTGTGCAGCACCAGTCAGGCGAGTGAACTCCAATGCTCTCTGAATTAACCTGGCCAGACCAAAGCATGCACACACTGTGTAAAGCAACAGCCATGCTAACCCCAGCTCCATACTCATCTGAGTACTAGATATACATACTGGCACAACTCTCCAAGTGGTTTCCCAGTAACAGCAGAAACAATCAAGAAAGAAATACTTTTATTTAACCAAAAGCCATCACTTAAACTTCAGCTGTTCCAACGGTGCCATTTAACACACGCTTTCCTCTCCTGACACATCCTTCCTCATATTCCCTCATCAACATGCCCACAGGCCGATGTTGCCAGAGGATATTATAAATAGCAGACCTGTTCCCATCCAGCAGATTCCCAGAGCAGCTTTGGAAGAGCTAAGGTAAATGTATGCATATTAAATGCTACAAAGGCTTCTCCTGTTTAATTAGATTTGCTCCCAGGTTGCCTTTTATCTGGACTCAGTGCAACCAGAATTGGGACAGATGCCAGCACAACTCTATCAGGCCAAGCATGGTTTTTATGTGGATAGGTGAAAAGCAGCTCATATTGAGCCACAGATTTCTTAAAGCAGCTGATTTGCAAAAACAATATTTAATAACTAGAGAAATTGGACTTAAATTAATTCCCCGTATTTCAACAAAAGGCATTTTCATGTCAGCTACTTATTTTTCTATTTTATGTACCTGTAGGCATGCCAAAAACATTCGCAGTCATGGAAAGAAGAGTGAGAACTGCTCACTGCTGCTGCCAGTTTGAAAGCTTTGTTTATTCCAACAGCAGCATCACACAAACAAAGCACAAGTTTACTTGTCTGCAGAATTAAGCAAGTTCACCTGCATCCAAATTTCTATCGTTATTAACCGCATAACATATGGTACAATTTTATCATCCAACAGACCTCTCATCACCATCTAAGAACAATATTAGAGCAAAAACACTTCAGAAGGTTTGAGGAGACAATTTCCCAGATATAGGGAGCTGTGTCCTTTAACAGTGTATGTTCAGGTGGCAACTGGCGTGCTGAGAGCCTCTTGCTGTAACAGTGTTCCCTAATTGATTAAACTGTCCTTTGGACGAAATCAGTTTCCAAAATGGAAGAAATGACTTCAAATACCTTTTGCACCTAGACTACATCACATATAGTTATACCTCACCCACTGCCTGTCCACTTGAATGGCAATTCAAGTGCCAATGCACCGACTTTTTACTTTCCCAGACAGACTAACAATGCTCATAAATCGGAATGACAGCTTAAACACTGATGGCTGATAAAACACTCAAGGGAAACATCTTTCAACAGACTCATGTGAAGGACAGCCTTGGCCGCTGTGAGTCCTTGGGCCAAACTCTCAGCAACGGTAGAGCTGCTTTCTTCCATGTACTTACTCTAAGTAGGGGATGTGGATTTTGAGAATCCAAAGATTTCCAGGACTTGATTCCCTGGTGCAAGTCAAGGACATGAGGCCTGTATCAACTGTATGGGCTACAGCCAGCTCAAGCTGCAGGTATGAATGCCCAGATCACACATTTTCTGCCTACACTGCTACCTGTTTGTCCAGAGGGGCTCATAATCAGCAGTGCTTGATGCATCTCCCAGTGGGCTGTTTTGCAGTGCTCTGAGACCTTCCCAGGCTTGATACATCTAGAGGGCATAAATGAGTGCACTGTTTGGGTTCAGATGCAGAGCATGTAGGCTCTTCCTTAGTCAGAAAGCTCCAAAACTGGGGCTGTCACAGACAACAGGCAAGCCTTGGGCCTACACTTAAGTTTTTGCATGGACACAGGCTGGGTTATTTCACATCAGCCTTTCTGACAATGATGGTCAACGAGCAGCAAATAATGCAGATAACCTCAAATATGCACACGTATACCCAACGGTACAGGCAGTAAGGACCAAGGACTCCTGAGACATTTATGCATCACACACAAGACCAACAGGATATACACACGGAAGGGTGGAGGGTGAGGATGATGCCACAGTGGGATTAAGTCTGGGAAAAAGGTCTCACTATCATGCCAAGGGAAAGATAAGTGAGTTAGCAGGGAAAAGCTGTGGCGTGGTTTGCTGCTAGAGGCATTAAGCTACAGTGCCAGACGTGGCAAACGTGGCTGCCCCAGGGCTTTATGGCCAAGGTATGTAAGTGGGCTCAGCAGTATATGGAGAAACTTTGGTTTGAGGTGTGCAAAGAGGAAAAGCAGAGAGGGAAATGAGACAGATGCAAGCAGGGATGGCACAGGCGTGCACAGTATGTGATGAGAGATGACAGCCATAGGAAGTTCTTACCTCCCATAAATCCCAAGGTAAAGACTACGCATGTCAAAGAGCAACAGAAACAAAACATGTTTATATGCAATTATTTCAGCAGGTACAAAATTACAGACAGTCTGAAGCAGACATACACATTCAACAGCACTACTTACCTCCGCATGGTTTTTTTGTTTTTTGTTTTTTTGTTTTTGTTGTTGTTGCTGTTTTTAAGTGTGCAGATCTATACACTCATCCCCTTCGCATTTCCAAATTAAGCACTAACATATCCGAATGAGGGTCATTCCTTGCTCTGGTATGAAGGGAGACAGCTAAGCCACATTCAGTTATTAGTGCCAGTACTGACAGGAAAAAAAATAAATCATGGATTTGTGGTCTATCAGAGTTAAATATTCTCTTATCTCCTCAACCAGAGTTACACGTTATTTCAGAGCAAGACTTCAGCCCATATCTTTGGATCAACAGCGAAATATTTTAACCTCTCTGCCATACCACCTGCCCTGTGGGAAATAAATCTGAATTCTTTGAAAATGGGGAGGTTTGTGCTAGGTTTAATACTGTGGTTACCACTGTAAAGTATTAATTTCAGACTCTTAAGTGACTTCTGAAACTAACAATAAATGTGCAACATGTTACTGTTGAACAGTTTTAAAAATCCCACTCAGCATAACATTTATTGCATTTATTGCAAATAATTTCATTTTAAAATAAATTCATACTCATATCCAATGTCAACATACCCAATTATTCAAGTTATAACAGGTGATTCAGAACAACAAAAAACAAGCTTATTCTGGGGTATGTAGCAGTGATGCAGTCAAGAAATGCCAATCTGTCCATTTAAAGTTCCCCAAAGTGGCAGTTTGGCACATTGGTGTGTATTAAACTATGCTAATAACTAGAATTTTGCAGACGCAGTATTTTAATTTAGAAGCATCAAACTTTTAACAGAGATCCTACTGCTAGAAAGATCAGCCATACAGGCCCACTTGACTTTATGATACTGGAAAAATACTGTAACATCCAAATTATACTACTACAAATTTTAGTGGAAAGCACAGGCCAAGAACATGTATTTCACACATAAGAAATGGAATGTCTGGGTGAAAGAAACCAAAGTGCAGCCCACCTGTCTCTAGTAGGACAGGAACAGGTACAGGTCAGACCAGAATTATGAATCTTCCTTTTACTTCACTGTGAGGCAATATGTCCAGGGAGGAAGCCACTTCATTATCATGAACAGAGGCTATGTTATACTCAGACAGAAGGGCCTCGTGTCACTTGAGTATCTCTGCAGTTTTATTCATCTTAAGTAACTGCAGACTATCAAAGTGTCTGTTTACTAAAAATCTCTTTGAGAACAATTTACAGCAGGAGCACAGAGCAGAGGTTGAATGCCTACCCATGGTTTAAATCCACACAGTATATAGAGGATGTTAATCTATGGATGGAGATCTATGAACGTGTTGTCAAGCAGTAGATCACCTGAGCAAAGCACAAGCACCCCACAGACAGCTAGTGCCAGACTGTGGCCTGGCTAACAGCCACGTGATTCTCACTGGACTTTCATATGCAGCAGAGAAGACCAAGGTGCCCATCCGCAGGGCATCAGAAGTTGGTGGCTTCCAGCCCAGCCACCCAGAGCTCAGGTCCAAACTGTCACTGATGTGGTTGCAGGTCACACCACCCCTGGCAACAACTCATTTTCAAAGAGAGAGGGAGAGTTGGATATTAACCAACCTGAGAAGCAGGTGTGGGGGTCTTCCCCATAGTGGCATCTGGTTTAATGGGATCAAAATCCAGATCCAACAGGCTGGCTCCCTCCTGGAAGGGCCCAGGGGCATCAAACTTGGCAGCAGTGAGGAAGAAAAGCAGTACGAGCATTAGACACGCACACATGTACAGTACAGACAAGGTATGCAACATCCAGGTGCTATGGCTGCAAGCGTAGAAGACAGTGTGGGAATGTGAACACTTGACGTGGCTCCTGACTCTGGGATGTCTTTAATCACGGGCAGTAAGCAGGGCTCCACTGAGCCAAACCTGAGCCTTTTCCATAAGGCTCACTCACCTTCTCATCTGACCAGATGAGCTCACATGGTGCAAGCACCTGACCTGTTATAGCCAAAAGGATCACTGCCACTAACCAGTTCAGGTGGTTTTCTATTTATTTCTACACCTTACAGCTCATCCAGCTGCCTTTGTGTTGAAAGCCCAGGACAGACTTACTCAGCCACACATCTCAGCAATGTGGACCCAGACAGAAAAACAAGCAAGGCTCAGAAATAACTCCCCAAGCTCCTAATTCCCTTCAGACACAGAAACACGTAACATAAAAGCTCACCCTAGTTATGGGACTCATATCACTCCAGTTCAAAACGATATTTACAATGCTTTCCATTTCAGGTATCCCAGAAACACGCATACACAAGCCTTCCAAAGCAGCATGCACGTGCTGCTCTCTTCCAAGTCAGCAGAATAACTTTCTGATTAATGTAGCAGCTGAAGACAATGACAGCACATTCACTAATTACCTTTAATAAAATAGTCACAACAAAGGAGTATTCAAAATAAGTCAATACGTCTGCTTTTAAATTTAGCATAACCACAAGACTCTCCTTGTATTTCTCTTCAGAGGAAGCTCAAAGTGCAGGAGGAGTTGACCCCATTTCCATTGATCTCTAAAGTTCACTTGCCATACCACCTCAGCTACCTTTCCAATAACACACCAAATCTGGAAGGCTGGCCTTCACAACTACATCATAGCCACACCATGAAGGAACATGGGAAAAACAGCAATAAAATTTAAGTGAAAGTCTTCTGCATGCAGCCCATACCATCACCATGTTTCACCTCCTTTTATTTTCTCTTACTGCAGTTCTCTCTTGGACTTTTCCCTCCCATAACAACATTCTCTCCACTTTCTGATATCCACAGTTCCATGAGGACGACCAAATTCTCCCATCTCACAACAATAAACCTTGACCAGTATGTTAAAACTGGCATTGAGCACACTCCTCCAGTGCACTCAGGCCATCAGGAAGGCTCAAATCCCAATCTTCAGCTTTGTTTGGTGGTGGGATGGTCATGAAAGTATCTTACCTGTCATTCAAGACTTACATGCAAGGCCTAGAACCTTTTGCCTTTACCCAGATCTCCCACAAAAAAAAGCTCACTGGAGCCAAGACATCTGACAGGAGCAGCCCTGGGCAATGCACTGAACACTAGCGCCTGTTGAGCGCTTCGGTGAAGACTGCTCTGGCAACCAGAGTCCTCCTTCAGAAATTTAATCTGATTGAATGTCACAGCAGATCCCATCCTGGGTCAGGACACTGATCAGGTGCAGAATACGACTGGCTAAGGGCAGGCATTCACATGGAAATACAAGATGCAAACCATGGAGCAGACAGAACTGTCCATTATGATATAAGAGAAAGAAGTATAGAGAATGAGAGTCGCTCAGCTGCCTGTGGTCCCCACGCTTCCAATGTTGCAGTCAAATCATCTCTGCTCTGCAGGCTTTATCTATTGTAATGCAAAATCTGACATCATCCTTTCCTCTCCACTCTAACTTGACTCTTCAGCAGTGAGGTGGAAGGTGGCAAACCAGAGGCAACAGGGCAGCATGACATGAAGAAAAGTTAGCAAATGAGTCACAGATGAGAACTGCTACAGGCATTACTTGTGCTTTAACAAGCATTTAGGGTCAAAAAAAAACAAAAAAAAACAACAAACAGTATATGTGTGTATATATATAAAAATATAAATACAGGTATCTCATGATGCAGCCAGAAATCTGGTCAGGCTCCTGTATACATAAGAACATCTGTTCTCCTAGATCCAACATAGAATGAATTCCCCAAGTGGGCATCCTCTCTTCCAGTGATGTTAATAATAAGGTAAGTAAAGATGAAAATTCATTGCTTGAAAATGCTGTTACCATTTTTAGAGCTTCAAAAGGTGTCACACCTCAGGAAAAAAATATTCTCATGGGAACTGCTGGCTGGTGAAAACAGTCTGTCAGGTGCCCTGAATTCACAGCAGGCACAGTCCTGCCTGTCTACACTTCAGTCACCAATTCCTGTCGGCTTTTCCAGTGCATGTGTGGGCTTTAAAAGTTAATACAAAGCCCCCACCTAAAGAGCACAAAACTGACTTCTAAAAAGGCAAAAAAGACAGGGTTAGAGTTTGGGATTATACAAAAGTAGACAAAACAAGCTTCATCCACACCTAGGATCCCTGGGCCTGGAGAGAGCATATCATGGGATGCAAGGGATGCTACACTCCACATACACTTCCACTAAGCAAACACACTGATAATTTCTGAACTGAGATTCTGGCATCTCCCACCAGCTAAATTTCTCTCATTTCTTCTATGAGCCAAAGCTCTCACAGGACTACATGTTTGTCTAAGCTGCCTTCCAGCTGACTTGCCTTCCAAAATAGCCCCCTATCTCCCTCTTTGCTTTCTGAGGTCCAATGCTGAGACTGCCTTCCTCCTTCACCTGACCAGGTTTCATGGCGTGACACCTCCAGAGAGAAGAAAGATGAAAAGAAAAAGTTCAGAGGCAGACAAATACAATGCAGGGCATAGCAGCTAACCTGCGAGGGGGTTGTCACACTTATCTCAGGGACAAAATTGTCATCAAACAGACTGATGATGTTCTCCTGCTTGATCTCCTTGGAAGGGGTGACTTTTGGAGGCGGAGGCACCGGAGGCCCTTTCCTCAACTGCATGCAAGTGAGCACACGGCCACAGCACAGACGGCGACACCCAAAAAAACCAGAGACAGGAACCAGGTTAGCCACAAAAATTGAAGGTGAGGGAAATCACAACCACAGGCACAGAGAATGGTCCAATCAACTCCATCTGGAGAGAGAGGAAGGGAGAAGGGGAAAATGAAACAAAATTAAAATAAACAACCACACGCCTCCAGAGAAGGTTTGGCATCATTAGTTACACTTCAGCTATGGGCAAGTTTCCCTCTGCAGAGAAGAAGCGTAACAATTAATATGCATTGACAGGACATGCATACATAATTAGAACATGTGCAACCTTCCAAAAAAAAAATAAACAGAAAACAATCAACACTGGGAAGGAAGCAGACAAGTTACTAAGAACACAACTCAGTAGACCAGGCCAGTTCTGCCTCCATTTTCCATACTTACCATACTTAAAGGAATAAGAGCCCAGACTCTGTCTTATTGTGGGATGCCCATGAGGCCAGATTCTGATCTGCCCGGCAATGAGATAAACAGTAGACCATGAAGTCAGAAGGAATTCTTCATGGCATCTTACCATGTATCTCAGTTTTGGGGAAGAACACTTGAATTTCCTGAGAAGCCAAGACTGCTGTGGGTCCACCTCTGCTCTCAGTTTCACCAATGCACATCAACACTAATGAAGTCACAAGTGTAGCCCAAATGAAGACCCCAGAGAAAGCAAAATGAAGACTGACTCTAACACACCCTACTACTCTCTTATCAAGCTAAAAGACTCAGCCTCACGCTGCATCCAGCCCCAGTGGGAAGCTGCAGTAGACCCTCCCTAGATCAACTGATCCACATCCTCTTCACATTTTCTTGTGCCCAAGCCTCAATGCTCTCGTGTAGCTCCAACCAAACTCTGAAGAGCTGTTCCTGTGTTGGAACAAAGCAGCCATACAAGTTCCCTGCAGGCTGGGAGGTTCCAATTACAAACTCAAAACTAAAAAGATCCTGACATTTCTGTGATTTACTACTCTGAAATAATCCCCTACCCTCTCCTGTGTGCTAGTATCTTCGGAGACTTACACAGCATGCAGCATCATCTCCAACAGCAGTTTAACACCATCTCAAAGACAACAGAACTGCATATTGATGTTGGGTTGTACCTGAAACTGCGCAAAGCATGAAGAACTTTGCTGACTAGAATAAATCCCCTAAAGTCTTTTTGCTGATTTGGATCCCACAGAGCTTTATCGGTCTAAAAATTCAATACAGCTCTGCTGTTTTCAGAAGTGCCTTTACAGTATTTCAGTGGTGTAACTGAGAGCAAAAGGTGAACCTTTGAAATTTCCCAGACCCCTCAAGCCCTGTGTCACCGCCAAACTACTCGGTGTGGAGTGCTGCAGTCAAGTTCCAAGACACAGAAACTCCAGAACAGCTGTTTTTCCTCCCTGTGGAATCAGCACCAACTCTTGGCACCTAGGAAGCATAGAATGGAGCTCTTGTTCTTCACTGTATTGAGGTCTAGAAAATGAATTAAATGTAAAGTAGAAAAGAGCTGCCAGCTGGTGGCAGCACACACTGCTAAACACCATTTCAGTCTTGCCTTGACTCTCCAGAAGCTCTGCTGGAATATTCTGCTTGCTCAACATGGGGCGGCCTCCAGCCCCATTCCTGTGGGCAGGAAGGCAGCAAGTGAATGAGCAAGCACTTGCAGCCTGGCAAAAACAAGGTCTATGTGCGCTATTTAAAGGAAAGGGAAAACAAGTCTGAGTGAAGTCTGCAGTGAAAAGCTCAATAGATTTGTACCATTTCTTGTTCCAAATTTCCACCAAGTTGTAGTGATCTCAGGAAAAAAAAACAACAGTAAGGCAGTTCTAGAAAGACATACACTATTCTCTTCCTTTAAATATGCAAACTCCGCTCCAAGGTCCTGGCCTGGGTGGCAGCAGTTAAGTCACTCTAGGCTTAATGCTGGGTATGCAGAGACCCTGAAGAAGTCTTGCAAAGATACAGCCAGGTATCCTCGCTGGAAGAGACCCTTTTGTCAATGTATAAATATCCTTTTTTGTCTCTAGATTCTCTGAAAATCAAAAACATAATGGGGGGAAAAACATTGCGAGAGGCTACTCCAGAAAACGTAGACAGCCCTAACAAACACAGGCCTGGATTTGGAATCATACTGCAAACTTACAACAACAGCAAAGGAGTCCTGTTTTACTTTCAACCTTTTTAAGCAGCAGTAGGTATTTCTTACCAGTTTGCCCAGATTCCTTATCAGATTTAATTTAGGAAGACTCCTCTTTGTTGTCCGACTTACTGAAATGCAATGACTGGTACCAGACATGAAACTGGTCTATTTGTTCTTTCTTCCCACCACACTTTTTTTCTCCATTTACCAATAAGGGGATGGGGAAAAGAAGCAAATATTTTATTTTCCTTAAATCCCAACACGTGATATGCTAAGAAGCAGGCACTACACATTTTAAACCTGCTGCTGGGTGTCTCCCATGTAAGAAGAGGACAAACAAAGGCCTAAGAAATGCCACATGGAAGGTATCAAAAGCCAACTAACAGTTCTCTCCCTACTACCCAGCTAATTTTTCATGGAATAATACAGTACCCTTATTATTAACTGCAAGATCAAAATAATAGATTAAAAGATAGTATACTATATTAAAGTAAAGCATCATGCAAAATACTGATGTTCTGCTTATCCACATAAACACAAAACTTTCTTCTTCAGATTCTCCTCAGTAAGGGAAGTTCTTGGGAAGAGGCAGGACCATTGGATTCCACAGGTTAATTCAAATGTGAAGAGCAAACCTCCTTGCCTAGCTACATTTTCCCTGGATTTTCTTGATCATCCTACCTGATGGCAAAATACATTACCAGCCTCATCCCTGTGTACGAGCAATTCAGAGACAGCTTGGTTCTTCCCTGCATAATACAGAGATAATCAATTAACAGCTTGCATTCTCAGAAATCTCATGCTTGCTCCGCACTGATGGAGAGCAACCGGCATGCTCTATTCTGTGCTCCGTAGCAGGAAGAGGTTCAAATAAAAGCAACTTATGGATGTCTTTGACTCACAGAGCATTGGTAATACAGTAGAGACATGATTAACATCATGGGGATGCTACCTGAGATGGTGATTTTGGGATGCTTGCCCCAGGTGCTTCCAAAGTGGATGGTTCCAGCTCATGGTTAACAGTCTTGGTCTCAGGGCTGGTGATGGGAGATCCATCTGGTGGAGGCGAGGGGCTTTTATTTGCTTTCGCTGGGGTGCTGTCACTGAAGGAAGGGGAGAGAGAGAGAGAGAAAGAAAGAAAAAAAAAAAAAAAGAGAGAGAGAAAAAGAATAGTCTGAGCAAGGCCTAGGAGAAGTTGAGCTAACCAGCACAGACCATTGGTCTTCACTGCCTGTTTGCTCCACTGCCCAGAAGTGTGATGACGATACCTGAAGCCTCTACAAGCTTCTGACAAGCATCTTTGCTGAATCACTTGCTGCCCAACTGCAGCAGGATTACTGGACAGGAGGCTACCCAATAAAGTCCCACTACATTAATATATTTTGCATCAGATATGGGTGAAAAAGGGAAAAAAAAAAAAAAAGCACAGCCATCCTTAATTCTCACTGATTCTATATAAGTGCCTATCTTTAAGTAATACATCTCTAGGGAAGCATATGGGGAAAGGAATCTTGTGCAGGTCATTCTGTAACTTTTCCAGGTAAATATTTTCTGAGTGGTGACATACAACTGACAGTTGTATGGGTTGTGACCAACAGATCCACATGCAGATCTACAACACCTGAACTACGGCAGTAATAAAAGATACGTGGTACAAACTGTCTAAGCTGCAACAGAGAAAAGCAGACCGAGGTTTCACAGATCATGCCAGTCAGCAAAGAAACAGAGAGATTTTGGCTAATAAGCTCTATCATGGAAAGTTTCCTCAGCCTGTTTTCAATGATGAACTCTTTTATGCCTTTGCCTTCCCAGTAGGTCCTTGCTCCTGGACCATTTCTGACACAATCAAGGAGGATTCCTCAGAGGATTAAGATACAAGAAGCATATACCAATGGTGTTTTTGGTTCATAACTTGGTCAGATTTGGATTTTTGAAAGGAATGGCAATAGGCAAATGCCTCTCCCTAAAGGCATGCCCTGGCAGAGCGTCAGGTCTGTGCTTCAATCTGTGGAATCATGAGATATTTAGCTAAAAGCTGGTTATCTGAGAATTTAGATGGGGATAAAGGTAAATCCATTTTCCCAGCCTCAGAAAAGTTGAAACACTTTGGCTCCCCAAAAAGCAGCTTATCTCAAGTCATGTAGAAGCACTCAAACTAACGGGATATTTTAGCAGAAGAAGCCTGGCAAAACTATGCAGAGTCAAAATGAAAATATTACAGAATATTTCAAAAGGGCTGTGCAATCTCATCTACAGGGAGCAGTATTTGCCTCAATTTACAATGATAAAGTTGCAGCTTTTGTAAAGTTAAAGGTCATGCTTTCCTACAACCTGAGACAATAAATGGTGGCACAGACTCAGAACTGCAACAAAGTAGACCTGAGGGATACATTTTTTCTTTACTCTTTCCCAACAGTCCTGGAGATGTACATCCACTCACACTTGGATGCACGAGGTGTGGTGGTCACTGGCTAACATGCATGATAACCTCATTCCTAAACACTCACAAATAGAGGGGCAGTAAGATGAAGGACAGCAAGGCACTTCTGAAAACCTCCCTTCCCAAGCAAGCGTATCACTCTGCTCAGCATTCCAGCTTTCAAGCTTCCCACCCCATTCACTTTGCCCTCAACCATTGCTCCCTCCCACTTTCTTCCCATATACATACAGCCCACACACATTTTCCCACAAAGCACTTGCTCTCAGGTCCACATGCAGGTCAGATGTTTCTGATAACAGTGACACCAGCAGCACACAAACATGCTGCAACAAAATCAGTGATGTTCTATGCCAGCAGCTCTCAACCAGGGGCACACACACAAAGGAAAGAAGCGGGGAAAGAACAGAGAAAAAAGGAAGATGGACTGAAAAACACATACATCAACCTTTGCAGCTCTCCAATTTCTTTGGATATGTCTAGTGTCTTCCTAAAATATCCCCAGAGATCACTTTGACACAGTGGGTTGCATGAAAGATTCTGTGGCATTGTCATGATGGCGCTACAGATTAAGTAGCAACAGTCACAGAGCAAAGGTAAGGAAGTCCTGCTGTAAGCGAGAGCTACCAGGCTTCACACAGTTCATTCACAGCATGGAAAACCTGAAATGATTCCAGCAGAAGTTTATCTTGCCGCTATTTCCATGGCAACACCATTACAGCATCATCTGAGATGGACACAGTGACCTTTCTGAGCTCAGCCTCACTGAAGACATGGGGTCTTGAACTTCAGCACGCCACTTCTGGGAGCTCAGAGTGGGTCCTACAACACCTTATTGCAATGAGAGTTGCAGAAGAATGGAAATAGTAAGAGGACACAGTGACCTGCAACTGGACTGCCAGGACTTGTCAAATGCCCAAACAGTGCTGGGAGTCCTGGCTACCAACTGGCCTATCCAACACAAGGATAGGTTTCTCTAACTACGCAACTGAAAAGATCATTTCTCCTGGTAAGAAAGGAGCTCACAATCATTTTCTAGAGGCCATGAAATGACTTTCTGGTGACTTACTTGTGGTGTCTGGCAGTGACTTAATTTGGAGATCTATTGGTGAAAGACTCCCATATGAGAGGCAGCCCGGTTTCTTCCTCTTGTCCTGCAACGGCTGAGAGGGCCCCACACCAAAGCCCTCAGTAAGTCACTGCTATTTACAGCTTATTTGATGTGTTGGCTGAAACCCCCTTAGGAAAATGCCAGTGCTAATTTTGACTGAGCCTTTTCCAGCTCCCTGAGCAGCACCTTTATTCCTGCACTTGTTGCTTTGCACGGGTTTAACTAATGTGACCAGCGCCAAATCACCCTGTCACCAGGATCCCGTGGCTTTCACAAGAAACCACACACTGTGTGCTGCACAGAGCAGGGTCTTGCCTCTGAATGGACTTCTTGCTCCAAAAAAACATAGGGAAAAGCGTGAGTGTGAAGACTGACCAAACGTATCATAGAAGAAAGTCAAAACAAGAAAGTCAATGTAGCCTGTTGTTGCAGTTGCTTTTTTTTTTTTTTTAGGTTCCCATGAGCCATTGAGAAGCAATGCCAAATCCAGGAATATCAGGCAGGGAAGGGACAGGGGTGTCACCTTTCTTCTTTGAGTCGAGAGCCAGGAACAAGGTCTAATGCAGTTACCACAGGTGAAGGAGAACCCCAAATCCCACCAGTTTCTTTTAGTGTTGCTGAGCTTCCAGACTCCTCACACAGGTCACCTATTCTGAAGAGCAGACTAACACCTGCACGTGGGGTTTCTATGTGCTTTTAACAATCCCACATTGAAAGATGGAACCAAATCTCCAATACAGTAGAAACAGACAGGCCACCTCCTGCCAAGTTCTCAAGTTAAAAAGAAAAAGAAAAAGGCATCTCAGCTAGAGCTCAGATAGGGTCTTTCAGCTAAAAGTAATTGGGTTATTTATTTATTTAGGCATCAAAGCTCGTTGAACACTCTAGACTTATTCCCACATCAAAAAAGAGGCAGCAGGGGAGACAGAAAAAAAGCACCTATGTACTCAGGTGTCTCTTGGCCCAAATGTACATTCTTGCTGCTGATCAAAGAACAACTGAGCCCTTGACCTTCCTTCCCCACACAAGGGGTCATGCATTTCTCTGTATCCCTGCAGCTGCTCTGACAGCAGAACCCGCAGCACAGCCTGGATCAAGCACCTTAACTGCTGCACTAGCCAGACTTTCAGAGCGCAGCAGGAGGATGTTGTGGTTAGAGCTCATCCAAATGAGATTTACTAGCTCCCTCTTTGCTGTAGCATCTGCAGAGGCTGACAATGATTGGAAGTGCTACATCTCCTGGTGCAGTCACGGCAACGCTGGCTCATGGTCAGAGACAGACATACAGAGAAGCACTGTGAATCCTCCTTCACAAGACAATCACTCAATATTTTTCACTTGAGGAAAAAAATAATATTTGCCCACCAGATTCCCTGTGAAATTACCATTCTCTTCCTTCCAGACAGGATGTACAGCAGAGACAAAGAGAAAGGTCAGTGAGAAGACAGGATCAGAAAGCAAGGATCTCAATACCAGCACTTGCTTTTATTGCTGGTGAAATACCATCTTGAGAAAATGTGGAAAAAAAAAAATCCTTATAAAAGGACGCCACGCAAGGAATATCAATAAAAAGAGTAGGAAAAAACATGAATTAGGGGAAATTTCTATGCCATTATGCACCAATCCCTGCTTTGCCTCACAGCACATTCTTGTCAAGAGTCCTTGACCTTGGCTACAGTAACTCTAGGCATTGTGGCAAACCAGTTATTCAATGCCACAGCTGTTTTGAAAGGCAAGCTGCTGATAGTAGCCTTTATACAGAACAACAGAGGCTTCCCTTTCCTGCAGTTCTGCACAAATCTTAAATGGATGGAATAAGACAGTAAGGATCCTCAGGAACAGAGCAAGTAAAGAGCAAAGCTGAAGGTGGCCCTCTCCTACATCACTGTCCTCTCACTGCAGGACAGGACAGACAGTAGGTAGACAGGAAGGACTGCGTGTGAGAGCTGCCTACTGGTCCTCCTGGGCCAGGCAGGGAATGAGAATGCAGCATTTCAGAGCTGTTCATAAGGGCAATCCCTGCTAAGTAAAACTAGATCTTGTTAATCACCAAATTAGACCTTATTTCCCCCATACAACCCAGCATCATGCTTTTAGTTGCACAAAAATAACCAAGCAGACAATGCCTGAGCTTTCACACCACCTTTTTTTTTTTTTTTTTTTTTTTTGGAGGAAAGGAAGCAAGGATTCAAACCAGGCACACAAGCAGTTAATGGGATTATCCAGACACAGACCTCAGCAGGTCCCAGCAGGCCATGAACACACGACATCATGCAGAAGAGCCCTCTCCCATCACAGGGTTAATACGTGCCAGGCTGTTAAAGAGTCCAGCAACAGCCTCTCCAGTTTTAGGAACTAAATCAAACACATATTGAAATGCTGCTCTCCGTACCGGTACCTGCTCATCTTTTTCCTCAGCCTGGCGAACAGTTTAGTTTTCTTTCTGTTGAGGACGGCACGCAAATCATTTCCGTTACAGGACAGCACAGTCAGACCGGGGAGGAAAAGTTAAGCTTCCAAGCACCCATTCAGCACCTTCTTTCCACCCATTTGTCAGTGAGATGCCAGAGTGATGCAGGAAAATAACTGCACCTCTTCTCACATCTTGTCATTAACTTCCTGCCACTGTATCCATCTCCAATCCCTTTCCCAGCAGAGTAGGGCTAGGGAAGCATCTGCTCCTAATACAGGCCACAGGAGTGGTGAGGGCTATTTCCTCCTGCACGCTCTTGTCCTGAACCACAAGGACAGGACAGATGTAGAGATAAGTGCCTCATGGTATTTCCTGTTCCCTGCAAGGCATTATAGTCCTGGAAATCTTTTATATGCATCCTCCTGTAACTCCCCTGAGCAAAGGGTAACAATAGTCATTTGGGGGCAAGACTCAGCTGAGATACCCATTCCACCCTCAAATGAAACCAGCTGTTTCTGGGTAGAAATCATGACAAAGGTAATAAATTCATTGAAAACTCTTTCATGCCAAAAACTTGATGCCACAACAAGGATTCATCTAAGATCTGCTGTCACTACAGCAGTCACTTGCTGGACTAAGAAAGGAAGGAGAAGGAAGGAGCTGGGAAAGCAACAGCACCAGCTTTCACCTGTCTTGCTACCTTATCCTCTTCCAAGTGGATCATGGTAACACGGTGCACAGCAGCAAGAGGATGAGCACCACTGCCCCATATAAGGCTTCAGTTGTTGGGGATTATAAACAGACATCGTGTGCTAACTTAAATAGAAGATAATACCCTCGTAAGATGCATCTTGAGAACGTGGCGTTAGCAATCCAAAATGCAGGGGCCAAATTTAACTTAAATTTCATCTTTCTTTAAATCTGGCAAACACCACACATATTGCCAGAATGAGACAAAAAAAACTTGTCTATGCATGACTGCAATTGGAGGTTAGGCTGGGAGGAGAGTCAAGAGAGCACAAAGGTCTTAACAGCTGATGCAGCCCCTTCCAAACCAATGTGCCCTTACTTCTTACTGATTTCACCTCCTCCCTCCATTAATATACCAATTGAGGACATGGGCTGTGCTCCTGCTCAGCCAGCATGTGGGATTAGCAGCAGCTGGAAGCCAGAGTCCTACATTGTTTCATCACTCACGCATTTGGATGGGACCCAGATGCAGCCTCATCAAGAGCCTGACCTCTCCCTCCCCTCTTGGTGCTACAGAATGCGCAGATTTGCAGTTAACCTACATGGACTGGACCCAGCTGCAGAAAGAAAACTCAAAACTACAAAAAGAAATTCCAAAGGCTGTAGAGGACCCACACTCCTTGCATCCACGCAGCTGGGAAGTGCTCTGAGATCAGAAAGCCTCATGATATTGAGGCTACAACTACATCCACAACACACACAGAGGCAACACATCCCCATTTGATGCACAGGAGGGACACAGGGCTTTGGTGAAGAGGATGTTTCAAGTTTGGAGGGCCAAAGGGAAGGCTGGGGAAACAAAGGGTCTCTTGGTCCTCAAGCTCAGAAGTTGCAGAAGGAAAAAAAGGGAGGGCTGCAGGGCAACCAAACCCAGGAGGAATGGCAACCCAGTGTATGTCATTGGTTCATGGAATTAGACTTTTAAAACAGCATAGATGCTACTCAATTGCCTAAATATTGGTATGCAGTAGAAGTCGAAGCCTACATCTGCTATCCTCCAAAGGCTGGAGGTATTGCATCATGTCTCGCAGCCCAAGAGCAATCTCAGACATGCTCCAGCAGTTTTCAAGGAGGGTGCTGGCTGGCTGTATGTAGGCAATCAAATCACTCCCCAGCTGACAACATGGAGATTTCAAGACCCCAGTAGAAACACTCCCTTTTCCACAGCTTGTCCCTCCTCCTCTGCTGGGAGAAAGACAATGTTTCCAGTTACTAGTTACTGACCTGGGCTGTGCTTTAATGGGAAAGGCATTGCCTGAGTACTGCTTGTCTAGACCCAGCAGGACATCATGGAGGTTTTGGTTCAACTGTAAAATATAAAAACAAAAGAGAGAAAAAGAATGAGAAAAGTGTCCAAAAAGAGCCTGTGCTGGCCTGCTTAGGCTGACGAAATACAGTCTTGTGCCTATATGTGCATATACTTAGCTATCCCACAAAGGAACAGTTCTATATCTGTCGCTACTCCTTTGTGGGGAAAAAAAAATCCCACAATACTGAAACCACTGAAAAACTGCTGGTACCTCATGGGAATGCAGTCTCCTGAAGAGACCATCCTCCTTGCTTCTTTCTCACCTACTCCTACCCATGTGCTGCCAGGCACCATTGTAGAAACAGGCAGAGTGTTTAACTGAGAGTCTTCCATGTGGTCATAGGGAAGATCCACTCTAGATTTGTAGCGAAGTTGCTCTTTATACTTCCTTACGAATGAGGGATATAGCAGTAGGACTTCAAGCCAACAGCAAGCTTTGATCCTGCAGGCTGCCTGGGCCATCTAGGTTTAGGCAGAACCTGGATCTCTTGGCAGAAATGCAATGTTAGGGGTTAAACTCTTCCTGACACCAAAAGCTGAAATATTCACTCTGGACACTCCTATCCTGAAAGAGCCAATTCACAAACAAAATTGGATGCCAAATTCCAAATCAGTAGGAGGAGGGATCCAATGCAGTCTGTATCAGAGGCGTCGCATCGGCAACACCAGCACTTAGTTGGATGCTATTGCAGTAATAAGAAACAGATGGCTCTTACTGAACAAAGCAGAAGGCCTGTTGTCATACAAAAGTCCTAAGGAAAGAAAAATCCACAACATGATATAAGAGGATAACTCCTGTCTAGCAGGCATCTTTCCCACCTTCTGCAGAATGTAACTTAACAGCAACAAACTGATAATTGTAATAACCTTCCCTACTCTTAACAATCAGTTCATTTCCCAGTGGAGAAGAGCAGGCCATTAACTGGAAAGGTCCCCATGAAATGTCAGCAGAGCTCAGAACTGATGCATTACACCATAGCAGTAGGCTTCTAGACTGCTGGGAATTTGATGACCATTATAAAGTTGCTTGTTGCTTAGCAGCTATCTTGTTGTTAGGAAGACAGTGACAAGGAAGCAATACCAAAGTTTTCCAGCTGGATTCTCCACTGCTCATCAAGCTCAGAGCAACATTTACAGAGAGTGCATCAGTCTTTGGTGCAACAAAGAGGCCTAAGGAACTCTAGGCTTCTCCAGCTTTTAAGAGTACTAACAGTAAAAACATACCTGTAAATGAAAGTGGCACTAGGAGGATTTCCCTCAGACTACTTCTGAGGTTCCTATTGGGTGCTGGCACACAACACAAATCCAGCTGCCACCAGCCCATGACACACAGGTAACTCACGCAAAGGTCACACTAAGCAATCAAATGCCTTTTTTTGGGTCACAGGGCAGGAAAGAAGACAAAGCAGTGAATTACAGCTGGGAAGGGCCTTCCTAATGGCTGAGTTGGAGTCTAGTCTCACGTTGCACTGACATGAAGACTGACAGATTCCCTGATGTTTCTATCCCCACAGCTAGCTGAAGGTTCAGAGCAACTTGCTGCCAGGCAGTGGGCGGAGTGGACAGATGCCAGGCTGAATGCCCTGGTTAAAGTTTACAGATCCAGATTTTGGAAGAAACAGAGAAAGGAAGCAAAAGAAGGCCAAAATTTGCCACACTCCCCTCTCTGGATCTTCAAATGAGACAAGTGACACACACTCTCACTGCAGCATGGTCCTTGTGGTCTCTTACCCATGTTCTATCCCTTCATATCGCTATCTCAGACAGATCTTCTCCCGTGTTGTTAACCCTCTTTTTTTTTTTCTAAACATTTTCCTTTTATACAGGGCACCTGCTCTTTCCTCTCCAGCTATACCGTTCAGCTTGTTAAATAACAGTGAGGACAGAGTGTGTTAGCAGAACAAACTGTTAGTTGCCTTACCTTGCTCATCTCTTTGTGGAAGTTTTCTTCTAGGCCTGCTATACTCTGGAATGTGTTGACGTAGAAACCAACACGACTGCCAAATGAAAATGAAAGAGAGAAAAGCTTAATGGACACAATGCTCTCCAAAGGCTTTCAGTTATGCCCCTCCTCACACCTTCTGCTCACTGTTCCCACATGAATTCAACTCTGCCAGGTCTGGTACATACAGGAATAGAAGGGCTGCAAGGAAGTGTGGACGGGGTGATGGAACAAAAGCCAGGCATGAGGCAAACATGCTCCAGGTGAGGAGGAGAACAAGTAGGGTAGAATCTGAACTTGTTCTGACAAATGGGAGAGGCAGGTGTGGAGGTGGCTGACCCAAACAATGCTACTGCATTTGAAAATAAGCAGCTAGGGCACTCCTAGGCAGATTTTCCCTGCCTTCCCTGTATGTCAGCTCCTATATTTCATCCTCAGAGCTCCCTGTTGCTTTGTCTGCTTCTTCTCTCACCTTTTTATCAGCACAATCATAAGTATAGCAAAATTCCAATCTCTCAAGTCTTCATCCTCTCTCAGCCAGGCTGTATTTTGTTAAATAGATCACAATAGGAGTACAGTTGCAACCACCAGTTCTTCACTGGGTCTTACGTGGAGCACGTTTAAGGGCAGCCCACATCATGATCCCTCCATTAAGTTTTTTTTCACCCAACTGTATAAACCCAGAAGGAGCATCCAAAGAGCAGCAAACCATCTTCTCACCCTCTCTGTTGTTTTAAAACTGCTGCTTCATGGGTGCTCCCTAGATCTCCCCAGCTGGAGGTAATCCCAGAACAGACTCTCTGAGATGATCCAGAAAGCAAGAGCAGAAACCAGCCCAAGAGAACAACTGAGAACAGTTGTACAGGAAGGTCTGTGGAAAAGCTGAAAGTCTTCACGTCCTTCCAACCAGCTGTTGAGAAAACTTCCAGCACTCACCTATTCCATAGTGAAGGCAGCTCCTCCTGCAGATCAATGTTCATTTCTTCAAACACCTTCTGAGCCTTTACTAACTCTTCTTCAGCCTTAATAACAGAGAAGGGAGAGAGTAAGCTCCAGCACAGACAGGTATTTCAGAGGGCTGGGATAATAGTGACTCTCGACTTTTCTTGGAGAACAAGCAAAATACTGGGATGGGGTAATCCCCATTCCAAACGAATCTCCCAGGAGCAAGAGTTGCATCACTAGCATGGGCCCGTTCAGACTGCCTGGGTTACCCTCAGGGTTTCTTTCAATGGAGATTCCTGTTCAGATACTCAGAAGATAACTGAAACATCCATTAACGTGTTCCAAGTTCTATACATTTCCCTGGTTCCAAAAAATGAATGGACTTGGTCAGGCAGTTTAGCCACTGGTTCAAATGCAGATGAAGACAGAGTGGAACCTGCCCCTTGCTTGGTCTCCAAAAGAGCTGAAATCCATCCCAATAGGTGTTGATGAAGAGTCCTTCCTTGTGAGGACTCTGCTTAAGTAAGGTTATTCCAAAGCACTGCCTCTTCTGAGGAAGGGAAGAGGTCTGCAACCTTGACTGAGATGTCTCTCTCACAGATTAGAGCAGAGAAGCAAGGAAGGGTACGTAAAGCATGAGCTGCAGCAGCAGGAGACTAGGCAGGGAGTCTTGAGCAGCAAGTGTTGGTTTCAGCAGCCTAACATACTCATACTGGTAAAGATCTAATACAAGGGCAAATCCTGGCTGGCTGTTGACTACCAACACCAAAGGAAACTTGCCTTGCACAAGACCTCTTAGTCCAAGTCAAAAGTTTAAATTTGATCTGATCTATTTGACCCCAATGATACTGCATGAACTCCTCTGCATTCCAGAGTCAAAAATGATGATCCTGGCTTCTGTTGATGACAGCAAGCATCAGCAACAAACACATTCCCCTTCCCATATTTGTCCTGGGTAGCCTCTTCCTCTTTTCAGTGTCCTGGCTTACAACCCTAAGCTTGCTAAGTAAAATGTTTGTATTATCTGATTTGCAACAGCAAAAGGAATAAAGAAAGCTGCTATGACTGCCTACTTCTGTGTGTGACTACAGCAGGAATGTCACAACACGCTCCAAACAGCGTGGGAACTGGATCTCTCTTTGTGCCTCCAGTCAGATTCTCACCCCTTCTACGAAATTGTATTTTATCATCTTTGTGTCAGCTTAAATAAAGAAACCCACAGCTTACTGCTCTTTAGTGACAGGTCTACACAAAGATAGGACTGACGGGAGAAAGGACTTAAAAAACATCATGTGGCTCAAAGTCCAGTTTCTCACAGAGCTGCATAGAGTCTTCAAGCTCTCAATCTCTTGCCTGACTTAGAAGCCAGCCACAGAAGCTCCCACTTTCCATCTAGCTCCACCTTTCAGAGCATCACGCATTACTGCCAAAGGCTCTTTGTAGTCAAGATTGGAATAGATTGTTTCCCCCAGAAAATAACACCACGAGTGGTGTAACGTTAACTGTAAAGTTAAGCAAACCCTCTAAGAAACAGGCATGGGGAGAAGGTATCAGGATGTTTCTATCCAGAATCCCTTGTAATATGCTGCTATACTTGCTGAAAAACAGCACTTTGAGAAAGCTTGCATAAAACAACAAAAGAGCCCATTTAAATGGAGACATAGTTTATGCAGGATCAGAAAAGATTATCATAAAGACTTACTCTTCTTTAAACCCCCCTCACGACTGAATGTTTCTAATTCAGCCATTTTAAAGAGAGGGGGGAAAAAAATCTCCCAGTCCATCCTTCGGCTTATCTTAACTCTAGACTAGAATCAGAGCCAACACAGGAGATGGGCTAGCTGGGAGATGAGGCACCACTGTATTCCGTCAGTTTTTCAGATATGCTGAACATTAACCAGTCTTTCCCCCTCTCATTTACCTGTTCAGAAGGTCAAAGAACCTAGAAAGCAATGTATCAGTAGTGACATACCAAGGTAAAGGCAAAATCAGCAACAGGCAACGTTCACTCCAGAACAGCTGTAGGAATCAGCAACCCCGTGGCTCAGCCAGTGCTCCTTCCCAGACACTGCACTCCCTAGCCACTTCTGGTTGATTTTTCTTAGATGCAAGGGTCCTGACACCGGATAAGGCAGACAGCTTCTAGTGCATTCACTGATCATAGATCTGCTTCATTTCCTGATCCTTGAGAACAGTTTCCCAGAGATTTTTGCTGACTAACTGCTTGAAGAGTTGGAATTTAGCTTTCCTAAAATTTAGCATCCTATTTTTACAGCCAGTATGTCTGATATCCCTCACTAGCATGAACTCTCCACCACTGCATGGTCACTACAGCCCTGGCAGTCTCCAATTCTGATGTCAGCAATCAGTTCCCTTGTGTTGGTGAGCCAAAGGTCCAGTATTACATCCTCCCTGGCGGGGCTGTCCATTACCTGGCTTAATAAATTATCCTCAATACATTCCAGGAGCCTCCTGGGTTGCTACTGTGTTACTTTCCTAGCAAACAGATGAGGCTGACTTGTGAGGAAGGAAGGAAAAACATAGGCTTCAGAGGCAGAGCTCATCATTACACATCTGTGCTCTTTTGTTTCAGTTATCACCTTTGTCATCCTGACGGAGAACTGAGGCACAGGACCGAAGGCCCAGGCCCATGAAACATGATCTTAAAAATTCTTCCTCTTCTCTCACTGTCTGAAATTGAAAAGGTTTGAGCAGGAGCTACACAACACAGATGCTTTCCTGACATTACCTCGAGCTACAGCTTTGAGAGCTAAGCACAGCCAGCTCAGCTGTGATAGTGGGATGGCTGTGTTGTGTATCCCATCACCGTGCATCTCATGAGCATCCTGCAATTTCCAGCCTGCTGCTTTTAGCAATCTGGCAACCACTTCTCCTAAAACACCACACCGTGGTAGTTATACACTGCTCAGTAAATAGTTCAGATATCCTCCAAGAGGAAGGAGGCAGGAAGACCACAGGGCATCCACCTCAGCCCCATCAGTCTCTGCCAAACTTTCTTCTCCCCAGCAGGGAGCAAGGACCAGGACCCAGCTCAATGGCTCTCCTCCATGGAGAGAAACACTGCTCTGCTATCACTACAACAGCACCCAGAACGGCTTTCCTGGTCTGAAGTCAGCATTTCAGAGTGCTTATTAAAAAGGCAAGAATTTGCTGTTCTAAGCTATTTTCCTCTTTGTTTCAAAAAGTACTGTCACCAAAATTTGTAATTGCGAGTTTGCAGTAGTAAGCCTCCCAGTAGATTTTTACAGAAATCCCTCGCAGACCTTCTTCTAAAAGCCTCAAAAGCCAGCAATCTGAATGCTGAAAGGAGTTGCTTTTGTGTTGTTTTTTTTTAATTTAATACTAGAAATAATAAGTATTGCTGCCCCCATTTTTTCTTAAAGGTTGTAAAGTAAGAGGAATTAGAAGAGAAAGCAACATAGCTGCCGGTAAACAGAAGCAATCTTTGCAGGACTTAACACTCTGAGGCTCTTCAATAAATGCAGTGTCATCAGCCCTCTTGCTTTTATCATGAGCTTAATGAGATTTAGGGTTGCCATTAACACCTTTAGTCTGAAGAATCGGGTGAATACAAAAACTGAAGCTTTTCTCTTTTTTAAGCTCTCTGCCTGCTAAGCCTGGAAACCTACAGCTTCAGAACACAAACATATCATCCTTCTTGAAATTTGCAGGCTACACATAAAAAAATAAAAAAAAAAAAAGAAGCCTCCCATAACTGGAAAGACAAAAATTTAAGGTTAGTAATAGTATTACGTAAGGAATAAAAGAGGAACAACTTAGAGGACTTAAATTGATTTGAAAATATACAGGGTGACTGAAAATATTAACACTACTTAGCAGATTAAAGCCACTACAATAGAGCCACTAGAAAGATGACACACATCCCTTCTTACCTGCTTTAGGGCAAAGTCACCCAGCAGATTAAAATTATCAATTAACTACACAGCACACTGAGATCACAGTGAAATGAATGAGGGAGCCCCTGTATATGCTGTTTCTGCTAGTAATCTGTGGGAGGTGGTATTGCTCCCAGTCACACCAGCCAGCTTGAGAAGAGGAAGAACCAATTTATCTGTGTCTTCTAAAATATCCTCTACCACCTTTCTAGTCCTCCAGAAGTACCACCAGCTAAACAGATCAGTCAAGAGCCAGAACCAAACAGATCCTTCCCAGCATACCCAAGGCACAGGGAAAGCCTTGGGAAGCCTGCCAAACGTCCTTCTCCCTTCCAGCGAGAATGAATACTTATTTCCTCACTTTGCTATGCATCTTAAGCAGGACTGCTCACAGCTGTTCCTTCCCCAGGCATGTGGTAACCTAGTATTTTCCTAGATTTTCCATCACAAAGTGACGGAAAATCCCAGGTGATCTATAAGGTCAGTTTTCTTATTTCCTGTATTTCCAAACTACAATTCATTTATTGTGACATGGAAAAAGTACAAGCATTTGAACAAGACCAGGGCCTTGTCAGCAGGTAACTCGTGCTCTCTGTCTGAGTAACGATCTTCTATTCCTTTGCCTATTGATAACATTCTCTTCTCACTGCTTTCGTTCTTGTTCTGAGCTCCAAGATAGATACCAAGGGAAATTTCATCAGGAGGCTGTGCCTCTCCAGAACTACTAGGAAATTTTCAATCTGAAATCTGGACTACTCTTACTTCCCTACTCATTTCCCTCAAGATGCTATAACCTAAACCTTTTCCCAATTTCTGCCACGTAATGCAACCATGACATCCACCTGGAGTTTCCCAGGTATACTGTGAGGGGTACGAATTCCCTGGGCTGAATCCACCTCTTCTATGCAGACTGAACCTCTGAGTTTTTGGAAATGGCTTTTTCAGACCAGCAAAGCCAAGCCAGTGATGATTTTGGATTTTACCATAGGAGAGTACTGCAACCTAACTCAGCTGCCACAGAAATTGTTTTTGAAGCAATGCTTTATTTCCGGCTTTACTCAACAGCAGAAGTTAAGAAGCCAATTTTTCAGTGTTTCCCTCTTTTTTCTTTCTTAAACAGCAACAGTAAAAATCGATTGCTTCATTTAGAAGAAATGAATAACTGGAGGAACTACACTACACCCCCCTCCATCTTGGCATTATTCCATAGCCTTTCTCCATCCTCATCTCATTTTATGGGGGGAAAACAATAGCCTAGTGTTAATGCACTTGGTCAGAAATCAACAGGGCAGGCACAGATTCAGACCAGTCACTGGTTAGCAACTTCTGTGTGCCCACTGCCGCGCAGGAGCATTAAGGACAGGCTTAACACATGGACCAGAGTGAACGTTGCCTAGACATTAGTAGCATAGTACAATCTAGAGCCCAAGACAGCGCATGCAGGGTTAGAGCCAGGTAAATCAGCAGTCACCTGATTTCGGAGCAGATTAGTTTGCGCAACGAGGTGAGCTTGTAGCTTCCCTTGACACCACTGAGGCGCAGCTTTCTCAAGCAGCGAAACAGGCTTGGGGATGGGAGCATGTTTGAGTGAAAAGAGAAAAAAACAGAATACAAGAGAGAGACAAACGTATATTTTGTTTTGGGGATTAAAAAAAATTAAAATCACAGAGACTGTATTGAGAGGCTGGGTCAAACCAGTATCATCAAGGCGATAGGAATAAAACAAACATCCTGGGATTGATCAGTTATGAATCCTTTGAAGCATGCCAAGTTTAGCAGTAATTAATGCTCCAGTGTGGGCTGGGATACTGTAGACTAGCCGGGCAGCTGCAAAGAGCAACAGATAATTGTTGTTAGTGGCCTAGCACACAGACAACTCTACTCCAAGCCATGGCTGTGAAATGGGAGCTCCTTGAAGAGAGGTCAGGATTAATTAATCGTGCCATTTGTTTACTTGCAACAGTTGAAAGTCCACAGCAGTTTATTTTAATGGCATGTTGTGAGTTTAGCAATAAGTGGCAGGAGTCCTGGCTGGGAAAAGAACATTGTATATTAAAGAACAAGAAGAGACTGCATATCTCCAAAAGGCATTCCCAAGGCTGCTCGTGTTACTATAATACCATGAAACATCACACAACTAAGTTTGCATTCGTATGCTGTGTCATAAACAAAATTTATCTTCCCTCTGGGCCCATCATCACATTTCAAAGTATCTTACACTGAAACATCCCTACTTCACAGGTCGCAAAACTGCAGTCACAGGGATGAAGAGGTGAACTCCCTACAGTCACAGTGCACAATTTGCCCTGGCAGGCTCAGCAGAGTTGAGCAGGCAGCAGCTGTGGGATCAAGAAGTTGGGCTGCCTCTTTGGGAAGAGCACAAGCACATAGCTTTGGGGTACTTTCAGTGTTCCTGTCTTTACAGGATCAGGCTAGTGATGCATCACAGATGATACACTGCCTGGACTTAAGGCCTACAGCACAGGAGGGAGAAAGATGTGATCAGACACTCATTTTTGCTCACAAGAAGTCTAGTAAAGTATTAAGAGGCATTTGCATGGGCTGAATCAGGAACAGAGCACCATCTCCTAAACTGCAACACTTCACTCTTCAACCTGTACTACTTTTTCCATATGTTAACTAAAGAGCAACAAACCATCCCTCAATAAAAACATATTTTTTGCAAGCAGTCGTGGCAGCATGAGAGAGTGCAGCAATGACAAAGATCAGTGCAGACCACCAGCTACCAATCAGAGTAAATGAATTCCTACCACACTGCCACTGCAGCAAAGATCCCAGAGGCACATACCAAAAACAATACCACGCCCCATGGAAATACCTCTCTTACCCCTGCACACACTGCAGTATGGCTTTCAACAGACAACATGACTGGCTGGGCCTCATGCCTTGCATACATAACCATGAATCACTTTGCCACACAAATGATGCAATGACACCTGAGCCATCAATCATTCTCCTCTTTGTTTGTCAGGATTAATCACAGTGCATGTGCTAGGAGAGCAGGTGACTGATGACTGGCAGCATAAAAATAAAATACTGTCAGACATTAAACACAAATCTTTAGCCTGGGGAGAGAAGCATCTTTATTCTTTCCATGTTATAGATATACTATTGCCTCTCACATAGCCCTAATCTTTCCTACCTGAACTGCAAAGCAAAAGGTGCCAACACTTCTCAGCCTGGTTAAAAATACAGGTTAGAGTATCAAAGGACTTCACAAATGCCACCAACCTCAAGAAACACTCAAACTCTTATAGTCGCTCTTGCTTTAATATGGGGAGACAGAGCCCTAAGAAGCAAACAAGCTGGCAAGTTTTACTGTGGTATTGCAAGGCTTTGTTTCCCCCAGAGGGGCACATGCTATTCCAATAGAGGATACTGGTTCTGCAACACCTGAGAAAACACGTCAGGGCCTTGCAGTGATGCTGACAAATGCCCAACTGATGATGGTGGGTGTGATCTGAGACACCAGAACGCATCCTGCCTTCTAGGAGAATTGAACAGGTGAGAAGGAAACACCTAGCCAAACCTCACCACAACACCCCTCTGAACAAAGAATACCCAGTGAAGTGGTACATGCTTGCTTTACACCTGCTCATTAAGCAAAAAGCAGACTTCCCAAATGAAAGGACAGTTGCACATCCTTCTGTTTGCTTTACCTTCGCAATTTTGGTTTCATCCTTCTTCTTTGCAGTTTGCAGGGCTTCAAAGTGGTGTCTGGCACTGTCATAATCCACAAGCTTCCTTCCTCGCTTTGCTATGCGAGACTACAAAAGAAGGAGAAAAAGAGTTATGACAACCCAGCAGCCAAAACCACAATCTTAGGATCCCCCTCTCATCCCCTCAGCTTTCCCTGCTTGTACCTGTTCACCCAGCTTCATGCTCTGCCTGCACGAGGACTTCCACTGGATATCCTACAAAAGCTGCCCTGGAGCCATGTATGGCAACAACCACCCTGGAGGGAGCTGCTCAGGAACATCCAGCCAGGGAAGACAAACAGATCTATACAACAACAGCCCCTCCTCTGAATGACATTAATGTTTTCAGAGCTGTAGTTCAGGTGCTGCTTAAGTGCTACCAGATGCCTGCAACCTGCAGGTACCTGTTTCTTCATTTTCAGGGCCAAGAGGGCTGCTGCCACTCTCTAACTAACCAGTCCATAGCCCCAGCTCATGCAGAAGCTCAAAAGATGGTTCAACACAAGAAGGCATCTCTGCTGCCAGCACAGCAAAAGCATTCTTCCACATGCTCAGGATATGCCTACGACAGCATTTTAGACCCTGCGACAGGAGATCCAGACAGAAGTATGGATCAGCTGATGTGACCACGGTCATGACCAGTGGTCCACTGTAACTAGCTATTGAGCAAGAGAAGTGCCAAGAGACTCAGGCCCATTAGGCTGCTCTGCTATAAACCATCCACTGCCCTTTCCCCCTGTGCTCCCCTACAAACAACCCAGATGATATAAGTCAGAGCACAGGGCTTCCCAGCCCAGCTGTAGCACAGAGAGCCAAATGCCCTGTCAGTGATCAGCAAGCTGAAGACTAACTGAAGAGCTTGAATGAAGAGGACACAAAGGAGCCAGGAAGGTTTCAAATTAATCATACAGCTCGGGGAAATTGAAATTGCAAGATGAAGAATCAGCATCAAGGATTTACTTGCAAAGCAAAATCTTCCCCACAGCCCTTGGCAGGGAGATGTGGTCTCTTCTCCCCAGACTCCTGCAGATAAACTGCAAAACCACACTCAGGGTTGATCTCTTTGCCAGACCAGCTGGGACCAGTTTGCACATCTCCCACACATGCTCCTCTAAGCTTTCAGTGAACACTGCTGCAGCACTGCGTGAGTCACAGAAATCTGCAGGATCTCAGCCACACGCAAACCCAGACAATGTCAAAGCACTCAGCTTGCTCCAAGAATGGAATCACGAAGAAGCTGATCCAGTCCTCAGCCACAGCCAGCAAAAGACACCTTCCCAGCCTGCACTCCTCTTGAGAAATATTGCCAGCTGGGCACCGAGATGGGCTGTAGGAGGGGGCTTCCAGCACCGATGTCTCCAAGATGCAAGTTAATGCATCTTCCACACAATCCAGATTAAACACACGACCAAGTGGGAGATCTATGGGAATGAATACCTTCCTTTGGTCAGAATGGCACACATGGAAGTGCTGCAAGGAATCAGTATCCAGCAAGTCCTTCTGGAGCACTCACTGATCGTGCAACTGCCTGAACTGAATGGCAGTAATAGGACTTAGCCCAGTTCTGGATGCCTGCAAGGTTTTCTGTATGACTATAGGACAGCTGTAGCTACTCACTGAAAAGCTACTCAGAAGCTGAACTTCAACTGATGTTTTTATTTCTTACAATATATCCATCTTAATTTGAACCTCAATTTTAAAAATATTTTTTTCGTGCTGATATTTGTTTTCAAACCTGGTAGAAACAGTGCACCAGTTTTAGTGTAAGACAGACATTTTCCAACCCCACAGCTAGTCAGAAAACAGGTTTTGGTTCATATTCTCTGGGCTCACTGCAGAGACCTGCACTGTCATTATGTGTTCCACAATCACAATCAAAAACTCACTCAGAAACACTAAATAACAGACTATACAAAAGTCCTACTTCAGAAAGCTAGAGATATTGACCTGCACAGAAAGGACCCTGAATTTTTTTGCTCCCATTCTTCAAGTTACAAAAGGCAGAGACTGTTTTATTTCCCCCCAGCAAACATTAAAAATGTTTTCCTTACTAAAGGAATAGTATGTTTTCACATTTCTGTTGTAGATCCTGTAGGAAACCTAAAAAATTCAAGGGAATTTTTCCAGCCCCATCAGAACAGCAGAAGAAGATTCAGAACACGTTAGAATTTAACAAACAAGTAACACACGCATGATCTAGCAACACACATTTGTTACTGGGCCATTAACAAAAAACAGGCCTTCACTTAACTAAATTAAAATCATTTTCTCTCCATCATCTTTCTTCATCACGCTAACACCAGAATTCCAGGAAAAGCAAAAGAAAAAAAAAAAAAAAAAGGTTTTTGTGTCAAACAAAACAAAACTATTACCACAGCAACTGAAGTATTTCATTAATTATACATGACTACTTTTTCTTTCCTGCATGCCACCAGAACTTTAACTTCTGATATTCTAGAGCATCACCTGAAGATTGTGATATCAGTAACAGTTATCTCTTGACCCATTCCAAAATCAGAAAGGATCAGTGAGTGTTCATTGGCTCATCCCTTGAGTTTTGGTGGAATTTGGGTGGTTCAAGTTTCACACTCCTTTTAAAATCACACTGTACAACCTCAGGATTATGAAATCCCAAAGATGCTAAGCATGGAAGAAACATGACACTGCTATTACTAACCAGTGCACAGTCACTAGGGCTGATAAAATGCAATTTAGTCAGAAGCAGGGCAGAAGTCTGAACCTACAGAGAGCCCACTAAAGAAGCAGCAGCACACAAGTCTCTGCACTGCTAAGATACATATGGGAATCACACTACAGGGTATGATCAGCACTTCAGCCTTTAACAGCTGGAAAGCAATAGCCCTTCCCCACCTCACATTTCCAGGAACAGAAGAGGTTGGAAAAATGAAACAAAAACAAGGAGCTCCAGGAGGCAATGACATTGCTGCTTAGGGCTCATTTTACAAGCCTATGTCCTGCCTCCCTTCGATACAGCACGATCCTCCTGAAGCAACAAATACTGACAAACTCTTTAAGAACCATGTGGTGGGAAAAGGGTTGTTTTCATTGGAAAGAAGCCAAGCTGATACTTCCATGTGGTGATATCATTACTAGTGCTTCCATATGGTGAAGACATTTCCTGCATAACCTTCCCAAAACAAATGGAGAGATGACTACAGGGGAAGGGGAATTTACAGGACACCATTCAAACCCAGGTTGATCTCCCACCAAAAGACCTATATTCAGCATTCCTCCTTCTCTGCAAAGAGCTGATTATATGCACAGCAGGACTTCAGGGAACACAAAGAAATCTGTCCTTCACGCTGGCCTCTATCTATAAAGTATATTTGCCACTAACTGTTTCCTCAATGTTTTGTACTTACAGGGAAATTAAAAAATAACAAAGGACTGAAAAAACTGAGAGCTTGGTGAGCTGCTCCTGACACCACTCTCCTACACTGTGATACAATCACAATTTTTTTTACAAGTTCTCATTATACATTTAAGGGGTTTTTTTTTCAGCATCTTTCCCCTGGATTCTTCATTCAAGCCTAATGGAGAAAATAGTACTTTCATACGACCCAGAGCTGCAAAGACTTTGGCTGCTCTAATAGGAACTTTTGCAACAGCACACATACCTTTTTAAAAAACATGGGGATGCAAAGAACTAATGCTTATGAGATTTCATCTGCAATGACTCTAGATCAGACTTAAAGAGAATCTTACTTTGATATCTGGGAATTGGCCAAGGTATGTATCCATGGTCAGAAGAGCCTGATCCACCAGTTTCTGATGGAAATCTGTCCAGAGGAGATCATTGTTCTGAAAAACAAAAGCAATGAGTTAACTATTCAGAGCACAGAGCTTTGCATTCTGCAAGTGCTACAGTTAGTAATTTCAGACCCCAGAGCTCTTAAGAAACAGTCATTTCTTTGGAAAAACAAAGAAGCAGAAAAGTAAGATGAAAAGTGAGGTCATGGCAGAAATGTAGAAACAGAAAAGGCAGCTTGATGCTGCTAATTCAGGGAGCCACTTGGAAGATACAGCATTCTTCAGAAACCTTCCTTTCAGGGTTTGCCTTTTCCCCAGCAGTGCTAGCCCAAAACTAGCCCAAATCCATATAGCAGAAGGGAAGATGAAGGTCAGGGCTCCGTTCATATCCTCCTCCCAAGTCACTTTCCTCCAGCAGCAACAAAATTGGGACACCTGACACCACTGCACTGTTTTCTCCTTCACTGTAATGCAGCTCTGGAATATAATAAACAGCAGAATGCTATCACAGCACTCTTCAGCCCTCACCACCTGCCTCCACAGCCTCCTGGAGGTTCTTTTCAAAGCTAGCTCTCTAAGCCACACATACATTATCCTTTATTTTTCTTAGCCAAGCTAATTTCCCATCAACAACCAGGATTAAGTGGAAATTACTTCTACTTCCTGTTTTTCCATTTGGCCAAATGGTTTTGGCAAAACTACTCAGAAAAAATGCCCATGTTATGGAGAAATTTTTGGGTGTTATTTCTCTGGTCAGGAATAGTACTTTTCTTCCAGTTCTCTTTTCCCGAAGGAGAGAAGCCAAGACAGACATTAAATGGGAAGATGGAGGCTGAAAATATTACTGCCTACTCTCAGAGGAGTTGCAGTTAGGTCTCAGGATTCTTGCTCCCTTTAGCCCCTCTGGCTCGAGTTTTCAGAAAGGACAGTCCTCTAGGAGGCACCATGGTAGCTCAAGAAGAAACGAGGCCAATAGAGAATGTGAAGCCAAACCAGCTGAATTACATCTCCATTTACTGCAATAGCACCTCATAATAGAAAGTTTCTGTATTAATGAAAGAATTGACCTGGAAACATCCTGGTTTTGCTTAATTCTATCTGCTTTAAAGACAGTATTTCCTGGGTAAGATGGAAATATTATTTCAAGAGAGAATTCTGCAGGGAAAACACAGGGAAGGGAACAGTCTTTGTCTTGCTTTCCTCCCTGTGCCTTCCTTGCTGCCACAAACAGCTGCAGCCTCATGGCAGAGCTGAACTGCCACAGCTGCTGTTCAGTTGAACAGCTGAACAAGACAGCAGAGCATGTCTGTCTCCAGCTGGACCACTGCACGTAAATGCCAAGGAAGATCCAAGCTGTCAAATGATGCGTTGTGCCCCACACTCCACAGAAAACACCTGGGCAAATTTGGACAGGCATCACCTCACCAAATGATGAGGAGAAGAGCAGGCTGCGGTGACACATGGCCCAGTCAAACAAAGTGGCAAGTAAAATACAGTAGCTGGTGGTAGTGCTATGAGTGGGAGGTTGATCGCAGCTACACAACAGCTGCTCTGATCATGCTTTAGGAATCGATTTATATTCCCATTCCTCTTGCAGAGAGAATGAAAAACATACCCAGTTACTTAATTACAGGTTCTCTTTTGGCTTATTCTGCCCCTTTTTAGCCATTGCTGAGGGAACAAAGTTGTTTGTATGCATAAGTACAGTGCTCTTCATAGTGTTCAGGAGTCTGGGAAACAAATACAGGCCACATCCCCTCAGCCATCCCTTCTTCCCAACACCTTGTCTCTTTGATTCCTACTGCAAAGATGCACATCTGAAGGAATTCAGTTCACTAATGCAGTTTCCAAAGCTTATCTCCTTTCCTTATCTCCAAGCCTAGTGAGTCTACATCCTCCGTTGAGTCTTACCTCTGCTATTTTATTTGTGTCATCTCTCCCAGGCCAGTCCGGCTCATAAACTTCCTGCAAACACTCCGTCAGCTTCTTGGAGGCTTCATGCATAGCTAGGAAAGAAGAGACAACTGCCTCAGAAACAAGGAAACAGTTAATCCCTTATCCCATAATGAAATTCAATGCAAGCAGCACTGAATAAGCTTCAACAAATGCTAAGATGGGACTTGCTGAATGTCTGCCCCTTAATAACACAAAAATGGAAGTAATCACAGGAAAAAAAGGAACTAAGAATGCAGTCACATTTACTATTCTGTGTTCATTTTCCCCAGGCAGAAGATGTAAGAATCTATCTGTTAAGAGAGCACCACCAGCTCAGCATTAAAGCACAACCCCATCCTGTCTGAGAAACTCTTGAAGCAACCCCCAACCAGACAAGGATGACCTCTTCTGCATTTGTCTGTACAGTTCAAGTCCTCACTCAGGACCATGAAAACACTATCATGCATTTCAGTAACTACACACACTGTGAGCACCCACACAGCACTGCCTCCAGAGCACCATTTCGGAGCTGGGTAGACCTGACTACCATTTGCAAGCCATTGGTTTTGGGAAACACTATGTTCAGACCAAGCATTAGGAAAAATGTCTTTACCATGAGGGCAGTCAAACACTCAAACAGGCTTCTTTAGATGGAGAAGGTTGATGACTCCTGCCTGCCAGTGTTCAATAGGCAATGCTGTTCTTCATATGCTTTAGCTTTTGGTTAGCTCTGGAAAGGTCAGGACTGATTGGCCTTTGAAGGTCTCTTCCAAATGAATGCTCTTTCTATTCTAAAACCCATGCCTGAGGATAGCAAACACCTCTGCATATGCTGATCTTACCTTTTACAGAAGACAAGTAAGTTCGGAGATCCTTCTGCAGTCTCGTGCCTTCAGACTGTGAATAGCAGGAGAAGACCATCAGTTATTTTCCCATTTAAAGAGTAGGAGGGAGGAATCAAGCATTTCTAAGGAAAGAAAATTCACCCTGCAGATGAGCCAAACATCAGCCCTGAACCAGCCTGAACAAACATTAACAAGACAACCACACAATCCTCTGATCTTCTTGGTAGGTCCACAACTGGTAACTGGCATGCATGTTTGGCCAACAATACCACCAGACTATTGATGAACTTTGTGTCAGTGAAGCTGTGAACTGCTTTTGAAGCTTTAATGTTTCAATACAATAGTCCAAAAGACAATAGTTTGTAAGAAAGAGGTTAGTAGTTCTGTGCAACAAATCTAACTGAAAGGAGTCTGCAGGTTATAGGAGACACATTTGTCTGGTACTGCCTTGGGAGAAGTTTAGTTCACCACTTTCCTGTAACACTCTAATTAAAAACCCCTGTGCAAAGAGAGTACAAGGGGTCTCTGACCTGACCAAATATCCTACTTAAACTGCAGGGCTTGCAAATAAAGAAATAATTTTCTTCTTCAGCTTTACTGTCTTAGTGGCCTGCCAACAGCAGACCTTGCATACTGGGAAACGAAAGATTAAAACCAGACACCAGTCTGAGTTTTGCTTGCTTGAGCTTTTAGACACCACAGATAAGTGCTGCAGAAGAACTCAGATTAGAAAGAACTTTTTACAGCAAAGTTAGGCAGACATGCATACACGTACACCTTCCTCAATACAATCACTCTTCCATTTTGAGCACAGTCAGATCCATGTCCCCACAACCATTCCTCATTTTCCTTCCCAGTTTGTACCTTGAGGGGGCCTCCAGTACAACGAATATTGACAGCTGAAGACAACTCCAGAGATGAAGAGCTCACAGAACTTCTCTAACAGCTGCCTCAGAGCTAATAACTTCACAAGCAGATGTTTCCTATCAGCTCTCCCTACAAAAGAGCCACCTCTTCAATAACTGAGTTCCTGCCCAGATCCTTTGTGCTTTTGGTGCAGCTGTGCTTTCTAAGCAGAAGCTAAATCTGTCCAGCTGTTGAAATGGTATTGCTAGTATAGCATTGTGAAGAAATCCATCTGCTTCCAAACAATGTTTCTGATTTGATTTCCTTGCCTCAAAAGTTCTGGATGAATTCACATTTATTATTTTTCTACTTTGCCATCAGCAAAGAAAATGAGGGACAGCAAAAAGCTGTCTACCTTCATAAAAGACAGTTGGACCTTAGTTGGCAAGAAAAGCATAGGGAAGTGACCCAAAGAGCATACAAGAATAAAGGAAGAGCGGCCATAACAGCTGCTGAAGTCCTAAGGGTGTCTTACAATATAGAGCAAGTAAACAGAGCTCTTTGCTAGCTTAAGGTAAATGCGCAAAGCTGTGCAGATGAAACCTTGTAGTGGTGCAATCAGAAAGTGTCAGAGGGGAGATGCCACAGTAATCAAAGACCACACAGAGAGGACCACCAGTAGCTCCATCAATTATGCCCACGGCAAGAAAGCAGCACTAGAATTCATGGACTAGAATTAGCAAATGTCAGTTCAGAAGGGGAAATGGTACAAAAGAAATGAGTATGTAAATTCTCTCAGTTCTATATATTTTTATAATGCAGCTGTATCATTTTTAAGAGTCACTAAATTTGAACACAGTTTTGAGGTTTTAAAAAGCTCTAAGGCAGGGAAGGTCATCAGTGAAGGTATTGAAGAACACAAGGTTTAAGTGCTTGCAGAGGGAAGTTACAGAGGTATAGCTGAACTTGAAGATGCTCAGGAAAGAAACACCATTGCACAGTCATTTTAAAATGTAGAATGTAAAGATATTAGAAATAAATAGTATACATATTTCACAATAAAAAAATCCACAAAAGGAAAGAAAAACTAGGACCAAAATGGAAGGTCAGTGCCAATTCTAGCTGACCAACATATTAATTTCTCATCCTTTCACTGATGACATAAAATCTTAGCACCAGAATAACAGCACTGGCTTTTGATGTGGAAGTGAGCACAGTGAGTTATTCTAATCAAACACAAAGAAATGTGCACTGTGAAAAGCCTGATGTGCTGCAACACATAGGTGTAGCCATGTGTGAGAAGATACTGCCATGCTAGCAACCAGTGTAATTCAATCCTGTAAGCCTATAACACAACCAGGTAAAATACAAGGGCAGTATATGCAGGAAGATGCTTATTTTAAAAAAGAAATGCTATGCTGGGAAGACTGGAGAGTTCTCTCTTCAAAGACCTAATGAATCACCTATTACTTATAACTGTGACAAAAACCACAACAGCATTTCTAGGAGTTCTTCACAATTTTTTGTTTTATTGAAGGAGTGTGTGTGTGCTTTCATTCACCATACCTTTCACTCAGCACTATTTAAGGATGCAATTTTCAGTAGAGCTGTTTCTTAGTAGTAGTCAGCTTTCCTAAAGCATTTCCCCTCCCAGCTTCAAAAGAAAAAATGTCATAATTCTCTTCCTAGGATTGAGTTGGGGACATTTCTGTATGTTTTTCCAATGTGTCTTTAGATAGATAGATAGATAGATAGCCACAGCCCTTATCACAGGGCTGAAGAAGAGAACATCCCAGGTTTTCCAGCTGAGTCTAAACTTGACAACTGCACAGGAATTAGCAATTGTGAGCACTGTACCAGACATCTTGTAACCATGGAATACAGTACTGCCATTCTCTGCAACAAGCCTTGCACTCCATTTGCAAGGCCTCAGAAGAGAGGCATCAATCCTGATCTGTCCAAACTTTTCTCGACCAGCCAGTAGCTCTGTTTTGCATGGCTTAGCAGTAACAGCAACTTCCCTAATCCAGTTGGTAGCTAGTGCTAATTTGTGTTCCTTTTAGTTACTTTTGTTGGTACAGCATCATTGGGTTTTGTTTAGTTTTTGTTTTACAAACATGGGAATAACAAGCAGTTATTTTATGTAGAATGGGTTATGAGTCCCATAATGAGATTCATGAGAGGAATACAAGTCTCATAGGATAGCAGAGGACTTGAGAAATAGAGACATGGAATGTAGCTTAAAAACACATTGGAAAAAATACAAAAACGACCCCAGCTGGATCCTAGAAAGAGAATGATGACATCATCGAGATGAGCATCATACTGCTGGCAGTGCTGGATGTTGGCAACTCACCCTAAGACCCCACTACTGCCAGAACAAACACTGACCTCAGGACACAGAGGAGCAGTGAGAAGGAAAGCACAATGCCAGGAAGTGGTGTGTATGTAACAGTTGTAACTGCATTCTTATTCTTTCCTTTTCAGTAACAGTTAGACATGGACTAAATAACAATTTCAATTTTACAAACAGTACTTCTTGGGTTTACTTACGTGTATGGCACCCTCTCTGCCCATAAAGAAGCTTTTAGGTGTGACACAGCCAAACTTACAGCACAAGAGCAAAAATTAAACCCGCAACCCCACAGGGACACTCAGAGCTGCACAGCCTGCCCTGCTGAGGCTGAGCCAGGCAGAGATGGATGCACAGCACACCAGCAGCAGCTTCTCTCTCAGGCAATTGGTGTGAAATGCTGAATTTCCACAGGACTGGCAACTCCTGAATGGTATCAAAACTCAGCAGCTCTGCCAGACAGAAACATGAGACAGTGCCAGGTGTAAGGGCTGCCACCAGCCTCCTGCTCGCTCACTCCTGAGAGTATTTCAGATGCAGGCAAAGACAAGCCAATTCTTGGCACGTCTCAATCATTGCACTTTTGCCTCAGGTGTCTTGCTGCCAGGTCCCCAAGAACCATTCTATGTGTGCTGCTGCCTGGGAACAAGTGATACTGGGACAGAGAAGGCCTTACAACGAACAAGCTGGGAGGTTTATTGCCAAAGATAATCCATTGTGAGGGCCAATTGTAGGCCCTGAAGCCCAGAAGCACGGCTATGTTCAGCTCATTTGTCACACAGCAATCCAATGTGCCTGAGCTAAAAAGCTCTCGTTACTCAGAGCTCAGAGTGATATCTGTTACCAACTTGAATGGAGAATGATCTGGAAAATGCAGTGCCTTCCCTTCTCTCCACTCATCCACAATCAGGAAGGACTATAAGATGCCTTATAAAATGAGTAAACTATTTTTAGACCTGCTCACCATTCACTGACAGTCACCACCAGAGAATGCATGCCAGCATGACCCGGCACAGTCTTTAGAATCAGAGGAGCCTCTAACCAACTGAGCAAACAAGGCTACTGCCATAAGGCTATTTTTCAAAGTCCCTTCCTGTTTCAAAAACTTTCTGGTTGCAACCCAGCGAGTTCCACAGAACAGCTATTCTGTTACAGGTCTGCAGTGAAAGATCATCTTTCCTCCAGACTTAATGCTTCCAACTAGAGCACATTCTGTATGGAAAGGACACTGAGATCTCACGCACAGCCATACCACACCACATGCATGTAGTATATACATTCAAAACAAAAGTAAGGTTGTATATACACACATACAGTTAAAGGATTTTTCCCCTTTCTTATCAGCGTAACACCTCTTCAATCTCAGATGACAATCCAGATAACTCACTATTATGATCTGCACTGTGAAATAGGTATTTGCTTGCATTTATTTTACCAACAGGAAAACCACATGTCAAAAGAAAACCAACAGACAACATGCAGAAAATGCCCAGCAGCCTCCGGATCCTCCAATAAATTGTTTGGACTGTCCTTGCAAAATGGGAAAACAAACTGAGCTGTAAGGAGTGTAGAGGCAGTAGTTCTTCATTGCGCTTCTCAATGCACCATTGGACTGATGGCTTTGGAAACTGAAAATCCATACCAAACAGATTTGAATCTAAGTTTTTCATTTTTCCTTAAAAAGTAGCTTCCCTAATTGCTGACAGTCTCAATAATGATAGGGAACAGTCACATCTGGTAATGTTATGTCCCCAGAAAGTAGCCAAACAGTATTCCTCTGTGTACTAGAGAATTCCAAGGGTAGACATGCTGCAGAGATGTTACATGTAATTCTGAAGTAACAGCAACCATCTCTGCCAAGAAAATGATCATAAGTCTCCAGGAATCTGTAGTGAGCCCTGGTTAAATACAAGTCCAAGTCAGACTGAAAGATTTTCATTATATTCAGCTGTGGATAATCCCATCTCAGACAATTTTGGGACACAGACCCACATCTGCTGAGTCTAAACAGATACAATGCAGCTGCCACTAACAGCTCCAGAAAAAAGCCCCAACTATGCCAGGGCATAAAGGGTCTAAAGACCTTCTCCAGCACCACCTGCAGTTTGGGGTGGCACACGCTTCCTGCTGTGAGCCAAGAGCAGCACTTTTCCTAGCATCAAGCCCACCAAGTTACAGTCAGCCTTGTAAACTCCCTGGGGCAATTGATGTAACCTTCCCTCATCTGGGTGCCTGAACATTACAGATACAACACACACCCAGGTCAAGAAGTAATCCTACTCCTGTCCATGGGAGGAGGGATTGCTACACTACTGAAATATTTGTGTGCTAGAATGTAAGTCAGAAGCAGAAATATAAAAGACTGAGGATTCAAGCTTGACTCAGTGATTGTGCAAAGATAGAGAGAAAGTTGCATATAGACCTTATCCATGGAAGGACTTTTCTTTTTCTCCATTTGCTCTGTTCATCTCTCTTCCACCTTTTGTTGCACTTCAGGAACTTAATTTACTCTTGTTCCATTTTGTTTTTTCAATTCTAATCTGTTTCCCCTCCTACCCATCTTTCAGAAAAAAATAATGTTTCTCCCTTACCTCTGCGTCCAGCCCAGCAAACCAATTACACTGTGAAGTAGCTGTTAACTGAAGGAATTGTTCTGGCTGAAGTATTTTTTTTCCCCTAAACTTTGGTCCAAAATATGCATCACTTTTCAGCTTATACTCACTCCACGATAGGGGATTTGGAAGAGAGTGTGATTTCTCATGAGTGGACCATTAAGAATTGTGGGTCACTTCAATATGACTATGGCATCATTTAATGTAACATGCTCTAACTGCCTATTGCAGCAGATAATTAAAAACTAACGCTGAAACCCAGGGTGAAATTACATATCTCTAATTATTTTACCAGCTGCTTGTTGAAGTTCTGCACACACTGTTCAAACTGCTCATCTTTTGTTTCGTCTGCTTTCCCAAGCTTCTGAAGGACCTGTAGAAAGAGAGGGAAAAGATTAGAGACTTAGAACACAGAACAAAGATAGAACAAAGCAGACAAACAGAAGCCACTGCAAGTTCTTGCTCATGAAGCTGTAAAGAAGGAAGGTTAAAAAAGTCTTCCTTATTCTTGTACTTAGAAGTTCTGCAGTATTTCTTCAAATAGTCACAGTTTGAAAAAGGATTTATAGATGACTCAGGATGAACTTTGACCTCTAATACTTTCCTGTACAGAAGAGCATGACTGAGGTTTGCTCTTCACGGGTCTAATGCATCTCCTGGACCAACATGAGACAAACCACATCCCTAACATGCCTTCATTTCTGTGGTTTTGCTCTTTTTGATTTAACACGAGACTGGTCTAGACAGGGTGGGTTTTTGCTCTTGGAACAGCTGGACTGTGCTGCCCTAAAACACAGAAAGCTGTGTAGAGATGTCCTAGGAAAAAGACAATGGATGGAGTAGTGAAAGTTTCATATTCTTCCCCCCTTTTCTCACAGTGCACATGCTTGGCAGGAGCTGGCTGTTGAGAATATTTGGGGCCATGACACCATGAGCCTATGTGACACTATCACATTTGAGAGTGTCAGCATCCAGCCCTTTTCCTCTCACCACAGCTCAGCTCGACACAGCCTGCAAAAAACTCCTTATCGGAGTACTTCCCTTATCACACTTCACTTCTAATGAACTCTGTGCAGCTAAGTGGGTCACACTGGTGCCACGAACAAAGCACTTCACTTTCTGGGCAGGTCCCAGGCAAACTGCAGCTGCAGAGGAGGGCAGCAGTATTTGCTATGCCTTAAGTAACTCCAGCAGCAGGGAGACAAGGATACAAACTACAGCTGGTTAAGCTTGATTACAACATCATTGTTAATCAAAAATAAAGCCTTGTCTTGTAGTGCCAATAAAAAACACAGAAAAGTCTACTCAGTCCTCAATCACATGAGATTCTGTAGAGCAAGAGGTGTGCAATGAAGAGGGAATGCTGAGGGAATGCTTGGACAAGAAAGGGAGTGCTGGCTGCTAAGAGCGTGACTTCCAGAAAGGCAAAAATCACTGGAAAGCAGAAGTATCCTGCTCTGCTGAAGACAACCGACCTTTATCCATAGATCTCAACCATTATGTTCAGAGCACTGAAGCAAGAACCTGCTTCAGCTTTTCTGTCATCAGCCCCTTCAGGGAGGCCACCTGAATCAGCTTCCTCCAACCCCTTATACTACACATGGATCTTTTCAGAGAATGTAAAGAGGATTATGCTCCTGCAGGGCAAGGATTAGACTTCTATTTTCAGTTCCCAAAATGGCACTGTGAAGGTCCACGCAACAGGATGCAACATTCACCTACTGGCCCGCTCTCATCTTACCGCACAGGCAAGGAGGAAGGCATTTGTGTTAAGTCTGTGAGGCTAATCTCAATTCCCCACTCCTACATAAACACACACATTCCCCAGCTTAGCCATGACTGCAGTAACTGACTCTAGAGCTGGGCACGAGCGCAGTCATTCAGCTTATAAATCCCTTTATTTAGTCTGGGATTGAATGTCCAGGAAGGAATCACTGTTTTCCATTTTTTTTCCTGCTCAGCAGCCCCTCCTCAGCTCCAGGATTATTTGAGATATTCATGTGTAACCAAAGGTGAGAGGGAGGCTCATATATATATATGAGCTATATATATATATATATATGTATATATATATCTGACCACAGCTTGTGACTGAAAACCTTCTGAGTTAACTCAGGTGACAGCAGCAAGCATTGCAGCTATAAATGCTTAATGGGCTTCTAAGCTGTCTACATAGCAAGATGCAGACAGCGCGATTATTCCCACCTTCCTCCAAACTCTTGGTACACACAAGTTTGCTGGAGACCAGAAGAAAAGCTGTACTGTTTGGACAGGCAGAGTCCTGTACATTGGCTACTGGTACCTCCTTTTCTCACCTGCATCAGTGAAGGTGGGTATATGCCATGGGAACGCTGCTCCTGCTCAGGCTACATGCTTCTTTGCCATTCTAACAACTAGGAGAAGGATTCAATATGGATTCGTATTCCAGAAGCAGTATGGTGAACCTCTTCTAAGAACGCTGCTCAAAGGCTTCAAGCTCAGCTGTACTTCCTTATGCTACCAGATCTATTAGGGTAAGGATTGCCCAACAAATGTGTGACTTTCTAATTTCTAATACAGGAAAAGCACCATCACACCAGAAGCGCCATCAACAATGTTAAGTGCCTAGCAAAAACATAAGCTGCAAAGCCTGAGGAATGAAGTTTCTAATGAGAAGATCAAAGAAAATTGCTGTGAATATAAAGCAGCTTTGTATGAGGCAATACATCTGTCTGGCTAATCAGGAGACAAGATGCTTTCAGGCCTGGAGGGAAGGAGACTTTAACTTGAAGGAATCTGGAATATGTCACTGAGGGTCAAAGGTTTAGAACAGCCTCAGTGCACCCATACCCACAGACTATTCTTTGAGATGGCCTGCCTTCCCGCTTCCCATACACGTAAGGAGCTCATCTGCTGCCAGGGGGACAAGCACTTCAGTCTGGGATCATCCAACCAGCTGGGAAGATCAGGTTCTGCACAGGTCCTACAAAACAACCAGGATTAGAAGGGGCCCAGCTCTCAATTTTCCTCCATCGCTACACAGAGGCTTGCACCCCATATCTGCAGGCCCTGTATAAAAGTCTCAGCTATGCAGTCTTCTGGTCCTTTTATTACATGCTATGGCACAACCCACACAGATGTCAAATCCAAATGCAATTTGAGCTGTATAAAATGATGGCTCCACAAGGCTGGCCCTCAAACCTACTCCCAGATCTTCCAAGAGAGTAGAGCAGGCAAACTATAACAACAGATTCCCCCAGAGCCCCTACACCAAGCAGATGGTCCTGGGTGTGCTGCTAACTGAAGGCATGCCTTTTCTCTCTGCTAATAACCTGTGAGCTCACAGGACAACTCCCGTCCCCAGGCTGGTACATGCCGTCATAGGTCAGGCTATTCCGAGTGAGCCACGGCTGCTCCCTCCCTTCCTCTGTGACGGTCTCTAATCCCCCAGCTTGTTGCAAAGCCAGATGAAGTTCGGATGGAAACTTCAGGCTCTTTGATAGCTATTAATGGAGCAGATTTACCAGGGTAGGAGTCAGAACCCCACTGTGGCTCCCAAATCTCAGGGCAGATCAGAGATGGTGTGATCTGACAGCTGCTGTCTGGAGGCAAACCACACTAGGCAGCAGCATAGACGTGGCATTTAAAAGATTAAGCAGCAACCATGGCTGGGCTCCTTGGTCTGCCCTTGACCTGAAAAGTCCCAATCCTGCATAAGGAAAGTAGCCATTTCAAGAAGGTGCAAAGTTGGGTGAAAGAGGGAATACTTTCTGCAAATGAGGTGATTTTAAAAAGTACATTGTGGGATGGGTTTGAGAGGAGGTCCCCAGCCTCACTGCGGGTCTAACCTTGGCTGTCCCAAAAATTCGCAGTGACAAGATGAGGATGTCATCCCAGCCAACGTCTTTGGCCTCAGGCACCCAGTATATATTTGAACACAATTTCCTGTGTTACTCAGAAAAAATGCCCCTTCTGACCATTCACTCAATCTGCAAGTGCCTGGCATTTCTCATAAGCTAGGACTACAGGTGCCTGATCAACTACCACAACCTCTTCAAACAGAGCCAAAATTCCATTCTGTCTCCATTTTCTCGGCACTTCAACAAAAGCAACAAGGACCATGGGATTCAGATTACAACTGAAGCTTTAAATTAAAAGCACCCAAGAATCCAGGGAGGTGAGATTGAGAGATAATAACACAACACATTCCTTTCCTATCAGGAATATATCTGTAATCCTGCTGTTGTGGCAAAGCTAACTGCAGTCAGTTTTGAATTGATACAGTCCAGAAAGAGAGAGATGACAGAACTGACAAAGAAGCCTGAATTCTTCTGCATAAAAGATCTGACATTCTGCGAAGAAAAGGTATGGAATAGCCTTGAAAAACAGCACGTTTTATAGCAAGATGTACAGCTTGCTTAAGGAAATCTGAGCTGCAGGTTATTCTCAGCAGGAAGAATGTAAGATTCATGACTTGACTGAGCTTTACTTAAGCAACCCAGTTTTGACAGATTTGAAAGGAAGCATCTCATCGGCTGCAATTCAACCACTTTTTCCAGGAGCACAGAAACAAGCACTCCCAAGAAGCAAATGGCCACACTCCATACATTGGTTCCCAGGCTCCTTTTTGAGCATAGGGCACACGGAATAGAGATCAGTTCCATGAATCAACTTTTCAATGCAGATCAGCAATCACCAATAAATCCAATCTGTGAATCCTTAATTGAGCTAAGTTTCCCCCTGAAACACCAGAATTTAGGGTAGTCCAGCCCTGACAAAGAACTGTGTTGCTAAGCCCACAGCCAGGGGAGCTGAACCCTGCCAGACAACACCTTACTCCATGCTGCATCAAAGAAGCTGCCATCACATCTTACACATACAGGCCCTCTGCTCCTAACTTCTTTCATCTCCTGACCTCTCCTCCCTCACAAATGCCTCTGACTTCTGCTGCATCTGTCAACCTCAGTGCAATACCTTCAATTATGAATAGGGTAAAGATCCAGAAAACAGTAACTAATTCTGAGTTGCAACAAATTGCACCAGTGGGAGTGGGTTAACTAACAACAGAACAAATCTTTCATCTCCATTCTCAGCCCTTTCTTCCGTGGAGGATACTAAAATGGGTTTGGAAGAAAGCAGTCAAAAAGGAAAGCACAAAGCCACATAACATAAGGTACAAAGGAAATTTCAGGTGCTGTTGAAGCCTCATTTCCCCTCTGCCCCAGTGAGTGCCACTGAGCGACTTGCTCTGCCAAGCAGGTTTGCGCACAGAAAAGAACTTGGGTTTTGTGCTCAGGGCGAGAACCAGCAGGTAGGCCCAGCTGGGCAAGACCTCCTCTCCCAGTCCAGTACAATCAAGTCTCTCTGGAACAAATGGACAAAGGAGGCCAGGAT